CAACGTATCGTCGATCGTATCGACGTGCGTAGCGCTCTTCATTTCGCAACGACGAGCAAGACGATCAGAGAAGCTGTGGCTTCGAGGATTGACGAGGTTGCACGTCGAGAAATGGAACAATTGCATCCTTGGATGCTCCCGTTCACACCGCGTGAGCTGCGATACTGGGAATCTCGACAAATTGCTCGCACCGAGACAAACGACGAGCAGGTTAGTGATATTCCGAGCGCATGTTCTGACGCTGACCTACTATATAGATTGACAAAGGATCAATATGGCTATCTCATATGAAAGCTTGCCTGCAGTCGCCGACATGCTCGATCAGGAACAGAAGAAGAATATGGAGATCTGCCACTTCCATTTTTCACGAGGCGAAGGAGCGCGGATTGCTCGAGAAAGCCTAATCGGAAACATCCGCATGACCCAGCTTATACTATCGCAGAATTTTGTACAATCTAAGGCCTGCTAGATTTCTAATGACGAACGGGTAGCAGATTCGATCGTCGTCGACTTGAGCAGGCATGTGCTCCATGACAATTCTCGGAAATTCTACCTGACTAGCTTTGATCAGTCAAAATGAAGGGGGAGAGGTGCGAGAGCTTTGGCTTGAAGAGTAATTGACTAACACCTGATTGCCAGATGCTGACGCCGGATAACGCTCATGACAGCTGGTCTGTTGGCTGCTTCCAGTCCGAGCGGCGAGGAGAGGAGATGCTTGCATCTATCGTTATGGGCATTCTGACTGGAATGGCCTTCTTACACGAAGGAGAAAAAATGGAAGAGGGGCACACTACAGCAAAACAGAAAACATTTGGCGGTCACTGAGTAATACCTCCAATTTACACAATCTTGCAGCAAAAAATCTTATCCTGTTGGATTCTCCCTGTCTATTTCGACGTCAAAGAAGCGGGGCGATGCCGAGAAAAACCTGGTTTGGAAATGATGGCGACTTGGGTTTCGCGTCGTGAGAGCTGTAGATAATCAAATAGGTTCGCCATCTTTTTCGCAGATTCTCTAGTTTCACTTTTTTTTTTCGTAGAAAACGGTCCATGGTTTGAAGACACGCTGAGATCTAGCTCTCACTCGGGAAGTTCCAGACGTCAGAGTCGACAAATTCGACAGTGTACACTGGTTGGAGAAGGGTCTATTCGTTGGCAAAAGCGCAGGGACATTCCCGATACGACATGACTGAAGATGTCCCCACCGCCTTCGGCAGTCAGATTGCTGGAGCCTTTACATCCATCTTTCAAATGCCAGTAGGTTCAGCAGCTGTGGACAAATGTGACAGAGTCTAGAGCATGAAGGGCTGGACCGCCTGCTCTGTTTCAATGAAGCCACTCATAAAATTTCTTGTCTAGGATGAGCATTGCGTATCGCTAAGCAAATTTGTCGGCGTGAAAGTGGACCGGAGCTGCACAAGTGTTTCCAGATGGTCTATGCTCTCCTTGCCCTCCGTAAACGACAAACTCGATGTCATTTACACTCGTACAGGGCAAGCTGTGGACACAGTGTGTGTGGGGAGCGCGTACACACAGCACGAATTATGCAAGACGGTGAGTTTGCATGATCGTTGCACTGGTGAATGTCGATCATGATGAAAATCGAGTGTCTATCGAGGCTGCTCGGGTGCACTGCTAGGCGGGGGGCATGGCTAATGAAACGAAGACTTGATCACTTTTTGTGTTCTTCCCTGCGTCCACCGAAGATGCAAGAATTGAGTCTGTTGGAGCGGCACGCATCCAAGCCCACTATCTGTCTGCGAGCTGTTCGGCAACCAGACGTGCGAGAGATAACCTTCTAGCCCTCCAGACGAGCCAAAGAGGGGAGGCGGGGGGACTCGGTTGCGACATCATCAGGCTATATAATAATTCGTTTGTTCTTATGCATGCCACGAAGCTGGACGAAACCGGTCGAAGCCGGATTCAAGTGGAGCAGCCCGAGAACGCAGATGCTGAGGTACCGGGCTTTGGTAAGCCGTCTGGACACGCAATCGCTTCTCGAATGTCCGTGTCGTCGTGCCGAACAAGACACCATCTTCAGGCTATAGTTTTGCGCTTTCAGTGACTAGCAACGCAGCAAGCGGCGTGGTTCACGGCACGCTACTTCAACTGGCATGTACACAGACAATTCTCTCCCAAATAATATTTTCGTCAGGACTTGCTGCGCCTCGGTCACCAATACTTTCTTCGAGTGACCTAAGCTTTTTGGTTTGCACTTTGATAAATCGATGGCCGATCTTCTTACCAGCACATGCCATGCTCTTGAAGTAGCCTCTTGCTCCGATAGACCATTTCCCTTAGAAGCAAATTGCGCTAAATCACTCCTAAGTCTTTGTAAACGAGCTCTCTTTAGTGGCTGTCATTAGCTTCCATACCGTCATTGGGATGCCTCAGTGTTAGAATAGATCAAGAATTCAGCCGATCGCTCGCTTCATTCAAAAAAGAGACAGAGAAGGGACCATGGCTTTGCAAGCTATGCGAGAGATGCTCCCTTCGCTGTGCTTCACGTCTTCATCGCAACGTCATTCTTCGCATTCTCAACACAAACCTCGATAGGGTTTACCAAAGTCGTGCGTACGTATCAAGGGGTCAATCCACCGTCTGAGCGCCTCTCCTGTTGTGTGTCGCAATGATGCGGCAACTAGATGGTTGATGTGGGAATGATCCCATGTAGATCATCTAGTGCTAATGGCATGACATGCACTGACGTGGTGACTGCATGCTGTGTCCACACACTTGCGTCTTTGAGTTGTATTGAAAAATGGCGGGCTGAAGCCTGCATAAGTATAAGCACAAAGGCAATCATGCCGGCGGCGCACAACTGTGAACACTTGTTGCGCAACTGCTTCTTCGTAGGTGGAGAATATATTCGTCAAATTTAAGTGGACTACCATGCCAACACCTCTCATAAATTGATGAAGAAGAATTTCGATTGGAGAGAGTATCTGACAAAAATTTAATACCTGCTTGGCAATACAAATCCGAGGACGATATAAGAACATGGGCCTTATCTTTTACTGCATTTAGGCAACTACTAAATCCCATGTCGCCATCGGCACCGCTTAACGGTCCCGCTAAACGTAAGGGAGCAGCCAAGTCAATTACAGCTAGCGTTGCGGAGATACACTGTACCAATTGGCCGAATTTTCGGCGACATTTGTCCTCCGCAGCAACTATGGAAACACTGGCGCCCTTCAGAGGCCATAGAGCGGGAAGCGGGACAATGTCAGGGAGAATGGAGGGTCCGAATAGATGCGAGGACTCGCTGTCGCGTCTATGCTACCCAGCTTCGACAACAAACTCCTGACAAGGGTATAGCACCCAAGTAAAGCCCTTCTGCACACAAGGAGAGCTTTTCTGGACGGCAACTGCCAATCTTCGACACACCGCAATGCCGCTTAATGCAGGAGAGCAAGAAATACAAAGAAATGCATGTCGGTCATCGCGTGCCCATCAGAGCCACCCGCTTGTCACATCTGGACACGTCCTTACTTTGAAGACCTGAAACGACAATTCCGAGTGCCCCAAGGTGGGTCACAGACCGCTTGCGTGAGTTTGTGCTATCTCGCGGTCCTCGACATGCTTCATGAGGCTCGCGAAGACGGCATGTCAAATAGCAGGCTATCGAATCATTCAAGAAGACAGGAACATAAAAAAATGCGTCCTTGCATATGTACTTCAAGGACCACTCTGTACAAGGCGATGCGACAGGTCGAGCTTTGCAACTCCGAAGAGAGGATGGAAGAGCTGCCCAGAGAAAAGTGGATCTCCGATCGGAGCAGCTGAAGCTTCCTGGCAAGGGACAAATGATAGTTGCAGAAAGAAGTAACGGCTCGCTTTAGGAGCATCTTGACTCAAGAGGTTCATGAAACCTCATCATCATACCCTCAGCCTAAGAAAAGGGGGAAGCAATACGTAAGGACAAATTGAATTCTCCTTCACGAATTACTTTTGGTGAATTGCGCAGGCCTTCGTCGCTCTCGCGGGCGACGTTGGGCGTGATCCCGAGGTGCAATCTTCGTGACCGTATCTCGGGTCCGGGATGGCCAACCGTTCCTGGTTGAGAACTTGGTCTTTTGGTTTGTGCAAGTACGTGCCAAAAAAGCCCTCAGTTGAGCTTGGGCAAGCTCTGAATCTTGGCAATTTTGGATTGTGGTCACAATGTGGCTTTTCACGTTCACGAGGATGCAGATCGTGAATATGATCCTAGCGTGCTTAGAGCACGTAACAAAGAATTTTGATATGAAATGATGCTCGGCCGAGGAATGACAGACTTCAACGTATATCATAACACGTGGGCTAGCTAGTCGGTGTACCGAGAATCATCGATGTTAACTCCTCAAATCTCCCTCATCCTTCATACTACGCAAATGACATCAAGTCATTCAACGCGAAGCAAAGCCGCCAGTCGCACGTACCGCACGCAGAATCTGGAAGATGCAGGCATATACATCAACCGCCTCAGGCGTAATCAGTGGCCCCCTCATGTGAGAGAAATGGAGGCATTTCTGACGTTGGAAACGTTTAAAGGCATCATCTCAAGGTCCGACGTGAGTCCTCACTCTCTGACTGCGATTGACGATATCCCCGCTTAATTTGGTCAAAAGGCTGTAGCTCTTGTTGGATCGGAGGAGATGGACAGAATACCTGAGAGGGCTTTCGTCGATGAGGCCACTACGCCCGCAAGGGATGCAATCATTGCTCTTCAGAAAGCGAAGGAAATGCTAGAACGCCCGCAGAGCTTGATTGGTCAGGTTGAGTTCAGGTGGATGGAGATGATTCGCGAAATTGTCAGCGACCTGCGAACGAACGGCGCTTTGCAATACACGTGAGTTCAGCTAAAGCGCCTGAAAGATTGTCGCCGAGCACGCATGTCTCGTGTCGTCGCATGCAGTCCTGATCACCACTTTCTTCATCCCTAAACACTCACGTGCAGGGAAGACGTCACCTGGACTCAGCCAGTGGGTCTGCTGTCCGCCGAGGCCGAACCTTTGGCGGCGCCAAAGCCTGACATGGGCTTCGGGCTTCGAACGCAGCAATCTTCCCAGCAATATCTGCGGGAGCAGCATTCAGAGGCCGCAGTACTGTCGAGAAGCTATCTGAATGCACTTTCGCTTCGACACGCGATCCCTCCTTGGCCCTCGCCTGGCATTCAAGAACTTGCTTTTCCCTGTATTATCCTCGAAGCCAAGTCCGACTCCCAGCCTCTTCTCTATGCCGAGAATCAAGCTGCAGGAGGGACTGCTACCTGTCTGAAGATGATCGAACGCCTGGAGGAAGTCTACTTTGACACGAATGGACAACGCTTTTCTCCTCTTTCGGTCTTGGCGATATGCTCAGAGGGCCCAACCTTCGCAATTCTGATCGCCTTTCAGGGTGACATTTCGGATGCATCAATCGCACAAAATATCGTGATTAATCTGCAAGGTGTAGAAGTCGATGTCCACAACTCATTTTGTTCCTTCTCCGATACAGCATTTAGTCACAATCTGGAAAGGCGACATTACCGATTATTGGAACCTTTTCTTACTGCTCTTGCTCTCAAAGAGGGCCTCGTCTTGGGTCGAAGAGCGATTTCGACCTAGTGTTGTAGCCATGCTTGAAGGCCTGCGGAAGGTCGTCTAAGCGCAGTAGGCGAACTTCATGGTGCGAGTATGAAGCTCCTTGGCGATCCCTAGATTTTTCCACGCAATATATCGAACTCTCATTTGTTATCTAGATCATGACAGACTGCGCAGGATAAACGACATTCTCACCTCCAGCAAGACTGATCATTGGCATCATTCCCCGCAAATTTCGCGGAAAGAATTAGCTTCACAAGAGACGTCGCAGCCCATCCATGGTCAGAGATACTTGGTCAACCGATGGTGTTTCGACGTCTTGCAGCACCTTTGACTTACACACGATCGAAGGTGTTGAGCACAGCCGAAAACGTTGATGATCGTTTGCTCCTTCGAAAACGCGAACGACAGCATACATGGTCGTCCCATTTGTACTTCTCTTCCGCGCACTTCGCTGACTTCTTTTGCGGTCAAATTTCTTACGCTCAGCTCCGGTCGAGACTTATATCGCTTTCACCGCGCTTTCACCAGACGTCTCGCTCTATTCCTGACAGAATGGAGCTTTGTATGATTTGAAATGGGATTAGAGTCAATTCTCCAGGGTCAGCTCTTTCAGGTCGCGTCGATGCTGCCTTCTAGGACCGAAAGAGACTGCAGCGATCAATAATGCCTTGATCTCTTGCTTGCGCGCGTACAACAACATTGCTGAGGTCGAGACCTTGGCATCGTAATTTGGACAGCCTCATGCGCATGATCTACCGACCTTCAGCTCGGCGAGAAGCTTGACTGACTTGAATATTGACGAATGTGTGGCAAGATGAGAGGATGTAGATGCGGGCGGTATTTGAGAATTTCTTCACGAGATCGTGGAAGCCAATTTTGCGCGAGTGCTCAATAGCACGGAGGATCACATGCGCGGACCGAAGAAGGTCACCTGGTTTCCAGCATTGGATCTCTCCACAACCCAAAATTTTAGTTCGCCTGCCCTTTGGCTAGCACAAATGAAGGCAACGCATCCACTTTGCAAAAACCCTGGGCTAAGACCATTACAAACGGAGAAAGAGAGGAGAAGCAGGCGGCTGAAATGAGAAGAAAAAGATGATGACCGGCCTCATTTACACTGAAAGGTCCGCCGACGAAGCCGACGAAGCTACTCCACGAATCAATCCCCGCCTGTTCAACCGCCTCTTCAATGAATCTGCTTGATTTGCTGGAACATATCCACATGATTTGCCATAATGGATGAGAGCACGGCGAAGGTAAAGGTGTCGATCTTATTGACGCTGATTAGCTCTGCGCGCTCGAGAATCAAGATTCCAAAGAGGTGCGCTACGATGAAAAGCTCTCTTGGGAGAATGGGCGTTGTATCCTATAGTGAGCGGGATGCTTCAAAAGTCTTGGAGAAGAGCTGCCGCTTCTTCCTCGTCTTTACGCTCGTCCGCGTGATCCAGGCTACATGAGCTAAAGAGCTGGAGAGATTTTTCATCTTCCTTTGTTTCCTTTGATTCGTTCGGAGCTGTCGCCGCTGGGGAACTTAGCTTCGAAACTTGGACCGGCCTGATGATGTTTCACTGCTCCTTAAAACCCCAGAGCTGACGAACACCTCGCATGCCACCATAGTACCAAGCGCTGGCGGCTAGAGCGACGCAGATGCACACTGCTGGACAGAGGCAAAAAGCCGAAGTTAAGTACAGCTTTGTCGTAACCATCTGGCTCTTTCCCGGGAAGAGAGGCAAAGGCAGGACAGCATTTTTCTTGCGCAGCAGTGGCAAGAGGCAGAAAAGATGCTTAATAGGGAGAGTAGATAGACGAGGTTGACAGAGCACGTCGTCGCTCGATAGACGGGCGTCTTGAAGGGTGGAGGCTTGGCGACGGAGAGAGACGGAGAAGATAAAGAGATGTGGGCGGCACCGTACCAGAAGCGAATGTCTGTACTTAGAGTCAAATCGCCGTGCGCGGCTTCTGTGTCGGCAATTGCCTGCTTCAAGACCTCGCTATCGAGGGGCGATTCTTCTGCCCCATCGCTGTCGGCATTGTTCAAGCGCGAGATGTCGAAGCGATAGACAGAGGGCGCAGAATTCGACAGAGATAGCAGCTAGACTGGTCCAGATAAGAATCTGAGCCATCGCCATGAATTGTAACAACGTCTTGTCCGATGAGAAGGCATCAAGAAAGTCCTGATCCGGCTTGCGTCCCTTGAAGGCGCTCTGTCGGTAAGTAACAGTGGCCCTGACTTCGTCGAAGAGGTAAATGAGACCGTTGACGAGGAGGAGACTTGCAATGTACAATCTGTTGCTTAGGGAAAGCTGACCGGTGGAGGAGCTGACGCCGTAGGTGCTGGGTGGCACAAAGGTTGACCACGATCCAGCGCCAAGTGCAGACAAAAGCGCACATGCAAGCACAGTTGGAGGCTCGTTGCCAGTCGAGAAACAGATGACGGCGGACATGCAAAGCGGTGCAACGACCGTGTAGCATAGCCAAATCCGAGCATACTAATATTTCGATTCTTGTCGCAAAGCGACCGCAAGGGTCGCGTTGAGAACGCTGTCTTTCTTGGTCTGGAGATCGACAATCGTGCGAGTCACGGAGGGTTCGGTGCACTTCGTGATGCGGCCCAAGAACATCGCCAGCGACAAGGCGTTGAAAAATAACAACAAACCAGGCGAGGCAAGTACCAGTACTTGGCGGATTACGCTCAAGATAGGTCGCTGGCCATTGTCGAGCTTGGTAATGGCGAACACGAGAACCTGACCGACGAGGAGACCAAGGCTGAACCTGATGGTCTTAGCAGCGGCAGAGCCTGACATCTTCATCTTTTTTTTTGGTACACCGTGGGCATCAAGAGCATGGACGCCACGCCATTGCAGGAATAATTGCCGGGTCGAATATGGCAAGAAAGCTAGGACGATGGAGAAAATCACTACAGGCAGGAGCTGCAGGCTTGAGTCAGTCCAACGTCACTGTGAGATCGTTCACCGATTTCACTCACCCTGTGGGCACCTGCCAGGACCGAGTTGTCTTTGGCCGTAACACACTCGGTGGTCATTTCGTGGTCGTCTACTTATGGCTTGTATGGTGATGTTGGGAGGAAGGAGGGTGGGTCCGCTCCGGCAACGCGAAGAACGATGGCGCGTGGGCTGCGGCCGCTAGTGGCTTCACCATATGCAATCCTCCGCTAGGCACGGAGCTGCACCGTGATGCAAAGTCACGTGACGTTATATCAGCCTACGGAGCGAAGAAATATCTGTATGCCAGCTCCTCCCTTTCGCTCTGCTTGCCTATCCCTTCAGACAAAGCCCGTCCCTATCTGGTCTCCGACAAAGATGTCGCCCCTGGGGTGCTTATGAGGCAGAGGGTCCTCTGAAAGACTCTTACGGGAACAGTTTCTTCTTGCCAAAATGGCGACGACAGCCAACAAAGGCGCAGGAGCTGGCGTGCCTCGCGAATCACGTTCCTCCCTGCTCTATCAGGAGGCCAAAGGCCATCTCGCCACGCTCAAAGACCGGCTAAAGAATCAAGCTCTAATAACTTGAGCCATCTGTCGTCATCTCCCGAAGTAGACTCCGCAAGGCATGAGCTTCGCAACGTGTACTTGAAATTGCTCTTTTCGTGCACCTTCACCGGCCGTGCAAAGGGCGCGGACTCGAGCCTGTGAGCCGAAACAACCTACGAGCTCATCGCAATCTGTCGAGCGCGCATCTTCGAGCTCGGCAAGCAATTTCGAGGCCTCAATGACGAAGCAAGGACAGGTGAAGGTAGCAAGGAAGAGCGAAAGAAGCAGGCAAAAGTGCAAAGCCAGGATGCTTTGGCCCTCCAGCGTCAGCGCGCGGCCTTTCGCGAATTCCTTGACCAGGAAGAGGAATGATGGAGAGACTTAGCGGGCCGCGAAGTCCAATTCTTTAATGTGCAAAAGGCAAAGCTTCGCCTTATAGCCCTCGGCATCCCATGCGAGCCCGATAATTCGGCGAGCGGCGAGGTTGGAAGTGTGCAGTCAGTAGCGACGTCTGCATTGGCAACTGGCATGGATCGAATCACGCTTGCTGCAAGAGACGATCCGAAGCTCGTTGATGCAGCCCAGATCCCCGCAAAAGAGGCTCGTCTGATTGAAATGATTCACAAAGCTTTAACTTCGTGCGGCGATTTGGCAAGATATCGCGAGCTCTATCGAGACGACCGCAAGAGCCCTGACGAGAAGGCCATGGCTGCTGGAGGGCATGCGCCAGCTCGGGTGGGAGGCGTCGACGGCGGACGGAGAGGCTCTGCTGGTCGAGATTAGCGTGGTGGAGCGAACTCAATCCGGTCGAGTCGAAAATCCTCGCCCAGGCCTCGCGACCAATGAGCAAGCCCGCTTGTTGTTTCCCGACAGTGGCAGCCATTCCAACCAGCTGGCTGTCTTGGCTTTGCACAAGGACGATCTTCTCTCATCGATCAACTACTACTACCGCGCCCTTTGTGTCAACGCTTTACAGACTAATGTTCTTGTCTATTCTTGATAGCTGAGCTGCTTCTTCCAACTTTACTCCTGGCCATATCGATGGCCTCTCGTCACTATTGGCGAATCGTGCGCTGCAAGCCAATTCCATCGTTAGAGACATTGTGACTGCCATTGCCTCGCACTACAAGACAAGGCTCTGGAGGACAACAAAAGGCTCTTGAAATCCGCCTTAGGTCCAAAGACGCAGACACTAGTCGCCTCATTGCTCAATTGAACAGTGAGACTTCTGCAGCCGACGCAGAACACTAATCCTTGTCATTGTCTTGGCCACGATCCTTGTCGTTGTCGAGGTGGGCGCGTTCAAAACACGCAAAGCCCTCGAAAGCCAGAAATGGCATCCTCCCAGCACAGCAGACGAGGGAGGAAGCGCAAGCATTGCTAGAGACATTACGGCCGTTTTCCGGCGGACCCTGTCAGCGCTGAGGATCGTAAGACAAAAGGCTCAAGAGTCACCTTGAGCACATTCACCGAAGCGTAGACCAAGCTGTCAATGGCAGTCAGAATACGCCGAGGGAGAGCATTCATTCCCACAACGACGCAGAGCACGATGACTGACGAAGATGAGTCGAGAGCCCGACAGATAATTGATGCTGGGGTCCCTCAATTTATTTGCCATTTACAGCCTCGAGCTTTCAACATATAAGCCTTGTGGAATCATGACGCAGAAGTAAGTCAAGGTCTTTAACGTTTGTGGCGCAATGCGGACCGAAATTCGCTTGATAAGCTTGGGATTGCCCGCATGCATTATGGGCTAAATAAGATCGAAAGCAACAATGGCAATCTCATTGCGTGTTCCTCTATTCTCTATGTGGCTCTACTTGCGGTCCGTTTGTGTGTCGTCGCCCACTTCGTCAGCGATTGCATTCCTATTGGACAGTTCTTGTTTTGTGACTGGTATTGAGGGAGAAAACGTAACCTTAAAGTTGAGATTTCATTGAAGTTACGTAGGACTCATGCATGTTTCCGCACATTTAAGTGTGCTTCTGTAAAGGCACAATGCTCGTGGTATGGATCTCCGCTCAAAGCCTCGTTCACTGATCGGCGTTTGCGGATCCATTTTTGTTTGTTTGGCCATTCGATCATGACAATGCGTATCGATATTTGGCTATCGCAGAGCCCGACCAAGGGTGGGATAGTAGGCCTAATTAGTCGCGTTTGACAGTCATGTCCTCGCATTGATCGGGAATGGCTTGGTCTTTACTGTGCGAAGCCCTGTTCAAATGTGGCAGACCGCTGTTGCTGGATAGTATTTCATTGCTGGCATTCGCTGCATTTCTCCGATGATGCTCAGAAACGGGCCTTCGGGCGAGCGAAACATATTTGAAGAATCATTAGAATAAGCGCTGTGTGCTGCAATCCACATAGAGTCTTGCTCTTTACGAGCAATTTAAAGGTATAGTGGTGCAGTCTGAACAGGTCTCATCTACGACGGCTTGACTTGACAGTGTTCTAATGAGATCCAAGAATGATATCGTTTCCCGTGCTCTTGTCGGCCCCAAATGATCGGCATCATGCGTGTGAAAGGGCAAAAACACAGCAAATGCTTATGTAGCCTATGAGTGAGCTGACGATTATTAAGATAGAACCACATTGTCTTTGACAACTTTGATCCTAACTCTCATCCCAATCCTAACCCTGGCTCCCAGAACAAGCCGGCTCCCGGCACAACTCGGCGGCACTCCACGGAATTTGTCGTGGTCGGCAAGGGCATGGAGCAGATGCCGTTCTTTTCGCCAGAATGTCAAAGCAGGGCAAACCAAGTCATGCACCGACTTCCATCTTAGCTTCGATGAGGGGCAAAAGGCGTACGAGCACTTCATCAAGGGCCGGGTGCTAGAAGAGCGGTTGTCAAAGTGACAGATGGGTAAACATCACCTTCTATGCTGCAGCAGATGCGCCCATTCTTTCTTTCAACAGCCCGGGAGAAGCTTACTTCTTCTTCGCGTTCTAGAATCGTTCTCTACATTGCCTTTCCTATCTTGAACTTATCTTGAATCTCAACACATCTCCGGCCTCAGTCATGAGGAAGACAAGTCTTCCCTGTGGGAGCAGCACCCAAGGCAGTGCAAGCGTAAGGTTCTTAGCATGCTGCTTGCGATTCGCGGTCTCACCACGTCTCTGCAGCTGGGTGGTCCTCACTTTTTCTGCTGTTTAGCACCCGCTATTGATCGAAAATCTTAGCACAGGGTCCTCGATCCGCGAGTCATTTTTCGCTGGGCTCATAGTCAGTTTGCTAACAGTCTTGAATATTGTCCAAGTCAGAAATTCAAAGGCACGGAGCACGACGGCGGTACCAAGGCGAAGCCTGATGGAATGGATGACTCATGGAGAAGGGTCGTGCTGTACCTGCCGTCCATGTGATTGCTGTTCTCGAATTATTTTCTCCGCGCACTGATGCTGGCTAACGTCGATGCCAAGTTAATTTTGCTAGAGTACTAATCGCATGATATAATCGCATGATATTTATGAGTTTGTGTTGTGTTGTAAAGTGGCTTAAATAGACCGGTGGAAGACATCAAAAATGGTTTTGAATCTTTTGAGGCATCAAAAAAGGTACAACACTTTACTCAAAAGCCTCAGTACCTTGCTTAACGACCATGTCTTGCACGCGGTCAATGTCCTGAAATCTGGGATCACACCGGCCCGCGTTCCCTATTCTTGCAGTAGCCGTCATCACAGGTAGCAAGTTACTAGCGGCCGGATGATCTTCACAATTCTCATGCTGAGATGCCCTTGTCCGACAGCTGGATGATCTTCACACTTCTCATGCCAAAGTGCCCTTGTCCAGCGGTCTCATCTCATCGTAGATTTCGACTCGCGGTACGAGTTCATGCTCTCCTGTGGTAAATAGACAGCTGACTCTTAATGGCGACCTTAACTCATTCGGGGAGCAAAATCGCCAATGCAAGCTCCCGAATCGAGCCAAAGTTTGTTTGCCAGATGAGGCGGAGCTCTGCTCGCCAACGACAAATCCAGACGAGTTTGGCGTCCAGGCACTAACCGGACTTTTGTCTTTGGGCAAAATTTGTTAGAGCCTGCATTGTGGGACGAAGGTGGTTCCTGTGATTTTCTATGTGGTTTTTCTTCTCAAGTGGCCTGCTATCGGTTGACACTTACATTAGAGATTCATATTCGGTTGGGTTCGGGTCAAGTGCCAGGCCTCAATCTGCCGGCAACGAGAATGTACTTGACGCCTTTCGCAACAAACAAAGCCATGCAAGGACAGCGCCAAAGAAGGCATTGAAAGCAGCGTCAGCGTAGCAACATTGTCATAGATAAGGCAGAGTCTATGACATGATCCTGCTGTTGCCTCCCCCTTAACCCCTTTCTCCATCGCCTCTCAACCGATATCTCTCTCCTTCGTCCAAGCACTTCCTCCGGCAACTCAACACCAATGAATACGACGCCAACATCAACTCACGTGGGAGCAAAGTCGACCTGCCGACCGGGAAAGCGATGGACCGAGGAGAAAGACCGACTGCTCACCACCTCCATGAAGGCCTTTCCCAATAGCAACTATTCGTGATGGCCATTGCTGCCAATGTCCCGGATCGAAGAACCAAAGATTGTCGCAAACGGTGGGTCAGTGGCCTCAATGATTCCTTGCGCAAGGGTTGCTGGTCCACTGCCGAAGACGAGGCCGTGAAGAAGAGCATCAATGAGCGCGGCAACGACTGGGCCAAGATCTACACTATCGTCGGCCACCGCCCAGGGGATCAGTGCTCCAAAGCGATAAAAAGAGGTCCTCGATCCGACATTTGAGCGAGAGGCGTGGTCGGAGGAAGAGGAAATCAAGCTGCTCGACCTCTACGACAACTTCGGCATGTCGTGGAAAAGATCGCAACCCACTTTGACGGGCGACGTGCCCTCAGCTGCCGCAATTGTGCATGCAAGCTCCTCGTCGCACAGAAGAACCTAAGCCGAGGACCAATAAGGCCGAGCAGGTGTGTTTGGCTACGCTTGCTGAGGGTTCGACGCCGAACGAGGCACCGCCACACTCGGCCAACGAGGAGCAAGAGCTGTCAGCCCAGCCAGAGTCGCCCGCCATAGCCTTAGCAGCGGAAGCAGCAGAGCCGCTTTCTAAGTTCACCAGTCTCTCTTCTTCCTTCGCATCTACATCTACTGAGGAAGATCAGGCGTCGGAAATGGCACCCACTGACGACCTGGGCCAATTCACCAAGTGTTGCGCGGGTGACGCCAGGATCCTGCCCCTCTTGACTTTACCCAGACTCCTCCAGTGACGGCCATGACTTTTGGAATCGAGTCTATCGTCAACGACATGCAGGTGGAGCCAAGTGCGTCCGCACAATATTTGCAGCTGGCAGACACGCAGTTGCAGAGCTCCACCCCTCAATCCATGCCAACGAGGGCCGCCGACGAGTTTTGCAACAGCGACTGCATCAATTCGATCTCGCCGACAGGTGACCAGGTTGCAGAGCAGTTTCGTCGTCCCCTGTGCCCGACGCTTCCGTCACTCTAGACAACAACAATGACGGCGACACGTTCATGGAAGCGGCAGGGCACGGTGACGGTGCTAGAGAAACGCAAGGACTTGGCTTCGACGAGGCCGATACGCTCATAAACGAGAGCCCAGAGCAGCAACCAGGGACATATCCGAAAACTGTCAAGAAGGACAAGGCACCCACGAAGAAGAAAGAGGCACAGTCTCTAACGGAGAGGCGATCCACGCTTGCGACCATGGACAGCTCTTCGCAACACTTCCAGGCGCTAATGCACCTCGCTGGCGACCCGGCTTTTGTGCTACGACGCATCCAGCAGCAGCAGCAGCAACAGCAGCATGGCTCGCTCGAGCCGGAGCAGGGATACGACCCGCCCAGGCGTCAGTCGTGCTGGTTAGCCCTGCCGAGTGGCGACTCCTTCATGCTTAACGCGAACCTTTTTGACGACGCGCTTCTCTCCTCAGCAACCAGCCAGTTCGACGCCCCCTCTCGACATCTGTCTTACTATGCTGCTTCGAATCTCTCCGACGCATGCTACTCGTTTCCTTCCTTATCATCATCGTCTAACTCTTTCTCTTCCTCATCGTCTGTCATTCGCTCCCCTGCACTCCTACCCGCGCTCAGCGGCGGCGGCAATGGCAGCAGAAACGGCGGCGGCGGCAAGAGCAACATGGCCATGACACTAGCCCTCGTCGCCGCCAGCATTGCACGCACGGCCGCGTCTCCGGCCAAACAGCATGAGCCTGCCGCGTTCTCACAGAACATCTGCGAGTGCGCATCTTCCGACGCATTGTCTGGCGACATTATGCGCCAAATGCAAGACATGCATGGGCTAGGCCTAGGTGGCGAGGGCTTTGGTGGCGAGGACCTGGGTGGCGGGGGCTCCAAGACTATGTGATTTTTCAGCTGCTTGCCGTGAACATCCGAACCGCCTGCGCGTGTGCCCTCGTTTTCTCTTCTTGCAACCCGTCACATTCTGTCTAAACTTCTCAGCATTTTTGCGAAAGTCAACATCTTCATGTGTTGTGCCTTAAGACACGTGTGATACGTTCAAGATTCCCATTAGGGACAACGTCAGTGCATCATTTTTCGCTTGCGACCGAGTCGAACCGAAATGGTGAAAGGGGCAACTAGAAGCCAGCCGCTGCCCAAAATTAACTGGGACGTGTGACAAAGATGATCGACGTTTCATGGCTTTACTCTTAAGAACTGCTTGTCCTACAAAGGGGAGTGAATCCGGATGAAGGGTTCCGGCCTCAGACCAATTTGCTAACACTAATGTCTCTGTCCTCGATACTCCGTGAGTAATTGTTTGATCATCAACTCAACTCTAGGTTTGTACACCGATACCACCCAACTGCGGATCCGCAACAACATCAGTTGGAGATGGAAGATATCGATGTCACAGGTTTGATCAAGTTTTCTGCTGATCGGCAAGAGATGCTGAAGTGTGCAAATGGCCTCATCAGGATTCGCCTTCTACGACGGGACGAGAAATGGAGACTCACGTACGATTCGCTTTGTTCCTGGTAAAATGCGATGAAAGCTTCCCACAATGTTCCGCACGAAGCGAAGGCAAAGACTGGCAGTGTGTCTGTACCATCATCGTAGGACGAGAGCTGTTGCAGAAGACTCAAAGCCTTCGCAGCACCACCTGCAGACTGATTTTCCGCAAAAAATAGAGAACTCGAGTCCGACTTTGCCTCGTAAACAAGAAAGGGAAATGCGACCTCTTCCAGTCCTGTCGAAGGCGTGGCGATAAGCCTGAATGCTGCGTGCGAGTTTAGCAGCCCAAGGACATGCTCAGTCAAGAGCTCGTCCCGGGCGCGTGTCTGCGAAGACATCGTTTGCAGCTCTGCCCTTTCGATCACACGAAGTCCGACACCAATGTCGGGCTTTGGGATAGAGAGCGGTCTCGAATCTGCTGATGACGGTCCGACGGGTGCCGTCCATGCGACATCTTCGCTAGTCCGTGTAAGAGTGAGCAAAGAGTCAGTGTGACCCTATCGTCAACTCTCGAAATACCTCACCTTGAACAAAAGGCGTCGCAATCCGTGATAACACTCATAATACGACGATTCAGATGCATCCATGCGCTCTCTACCCTGCCCTGAAAAGAATTTGGTTGCATGTTCTTGACAATAACCGCGCAAGATATCGCTTCTCTGAGCTCCGGGACCGAACCTGCTTCCACAACATCAGCGATTTGGGCCATGGTCGGTTCGTACTAAATTGCATAAAGTGCATCGGAAGACGTCAACAAATTGCGGCGTATTACGTACGTGGCTACAAGAATTGACCCACCCCGATCAAGGCTGGCGTCAATGGACTGAGATCGCTGAGGCTCCGCTTAAGAGTGTCGATATGCAACGGCACCCGTTCTTGTGGAAGGCGATTGACGAAGATAGATGCCTGCTCCAGGAATCGTTTCCTGTAGGTCCGACTAGCAGCCTTCGTATAGCTTGTGCCTTGAGAGTCTGACATGGTGTTAGGTAGCTAAACCCTGTTAGAGCTGTCAACAAATCCTGTGCTCTCGGTCAATTGTATCATCTTTGCATCGGGGCTAGGCTCATTGCCATGTGGCCTAATCAATCCGGAGATCAATCGTGGCATATCACGTGTTAAAGAGCTCGAGTCTTTAAACTCTAGCAAGTCACGGGAACCACCCGAGACGATATGGATCTGTTCACAACAGGAACTGACTGAAGCGTAGATCTAGCCTTGTCACAGGAAACAGCCGCGTCACATCAGGTACACATACTGTCTCAAGTGATGGCACCAACGGTCAATCGCTTTTCGGTCCGCATTGGGGACCAAGACGTGCCCTTCTAAGCAATAACTGTGGCTGTTCTGTCTGAAGAAGCTCGAAGCGATCTTTGCGAGCATCAAAATTGTCGAAAAAGAGAGGATCATCGCGTGGAGCCACGGCTCCATATCGAAACACCGCGAGGGTGCGCTGTGTGACAAAGTCCCGTTCAATGCTTGGCCAGCCGATGAGGAGAAAGATGTCAGCAAAGATGGCTCGCGGCGTTGTGCCCAGAACGACGAGAAGCGGCCTCGTTACCGTGTCCAGCGTAAGCAGGCCGACAACGAGTTGAGCGGGCCGGTCCTCGACAATCCTTAACGTGTTGATGGCGTGCGGTTGGCCTCTGTCCTTGCCTCTGCTCTTGTTCTACTGCACGTGTCCCATCTCGCCGTTACCGTCGTCGTCGTCGCAGTCTTTGTTTCCTCCCTCAACTTGCTCTAATTTGCTTGAAGACGGACAGCGCCTCGGTGATCCATGAGCACTGCGGCACAAGCCCGTTGGGTGCAGGTAGTACCAGAGAGCCACTGACGAGCGTCGTGATACCGAGGGAAAAAAATCCTAATGGAAGCCAGCGGGCCCCGACAGGGGCATTTGCCTCGCTTGGGCCATGACGAAGCTGACGTTGTGGTCAAAGTAGAAGAAACCATGATGGGAAAGCCGAGCGGCGCGCCCCCGAAAACCCAATTGACCTCAATGATCCAGAAATGCAACGAACCAGCGTCGGTCCATTGTGGGGAAGAGCAACTTTGCCATTTTTTCCACCAGTCATCGCGCTAGCAACTCTGGCCCTTGTGGAGTGAACATTGCTTCCACATAGCCCATGTTCAGCTCGGTTTGATTGCGAAAGGTCCAGATGTGAGGCTGGCTCACCGAACCTCCGCAGCGCATGTCGATCTGGCAATCCTGTACAGCGAACGTATGGTCGCCATCCTGCCCACCGTGGCCAGTACCATAGGATCGCTTGAGGTAAGCCTCTACGATCCCAACGCTGTTAAGCCCAATGCCTGTCTTGAACGTGGTTTCGCTCTGCCCGCTTGCCATCGCGGCTGCCTCCTGGTTGTAGGCATGCCAGAATCCGTGGGCGCCTTTGCCTGCGAAGCTAGAGATCTGTTTGAGCCGATCCGTGAAAAATTCTTTGAGCTGCTCGGCGATGAACCAAAGGCAATGCTCTACTTCCATTCTTCCTTCGGCTATCATGCAGTCAAATAAGCCCGTAGCCGCGATAAGCAAGCCCGTCTCAGCGCTTGATGCTGTTCCCTTCAGACCCTCCTTCTCCGCCATCCATCTGCGCAGGTTGAAGGTGACCACAATGACCGCATCGTCATAACCCATGGTGATTTCCTCTTCCGTTCGAAAGAGCTCCAGAGTTGCCAAAATGAGACATGCTCCAATGCCGTAGGCGGCTGTCAAGCCTCTCTCCTTGCATGCTCGAAGGAAGTCTTTGCTGGTCTCCTTGTCAAGCCTGAACCGATGCAACTTTGTAGGCAATGCGTCTCTGGGCCAAGGCTTCATTTTGCAGGCAAATGACTCGTTGAGGGGTAAGCCCGCTTTGGACTTGAGAGCAGAAAGAAGGCGCGTGAGCAGAAGTCCCCATTTGGCATCAAGCAACCCACCTCAATCAGTCGCTTGCCAAGGTCTCCGTAAGGCTCGCCTGAATTGTAGTCGTCTTCCGTCATGCCCACGGCGTCTAGAGCATGGCTTCTGAGTCTCCTCAGAGGGCTTTGCATGTCAACGCCAGGCGCTACGTGATCGTTGTCGAGCGTACCATGGCCATCTAAAGCAAGTCTTTCCAGAAAGCGATCGAGCACGGAGAGCAGGCCAGGTCCTTAGTGCGAGTGTTTAGCGCATGAATGCATTCAGATAAAATACCTTACACTCACCATCGAAGAGAACATGATGAGATCTGATCAGAATCGAAAGAAGATCGGCTCTGGTTGACATGCTGACGACTAACTTGATCATGTACGAATCAGGCTCATTGACGCGACCTAATGGCAAGACGGTGCTCAGCTGGATTCTAAGATCTTCGATTGATTGATTTTCCCTTTCCACCTCCAGCGTCTGTTCCAGCCAATCTTTTCTGGCCCTGTCGGAAAGAGGCGTGAACTGCAGCCTGATGCTATCCTTGTCATCATGTCTGACCAATGTGCAAGCCAGATCAGGAAGCTCGGCGAAGACATCCAGCCAAGCATTTGAAATCTTTCTCTCCAGTCCCTGGCCTTGCATCGATGTATTCACCCCAATTTGAAGGCCTACGCTGGGCTCAGCAGGGCCAAAGGCATGCTCGTTGAAAGAGGCCAGAACAGACTCAAAGCCAAAGATTGTGCGCTCAAAGACTTGCCGTTCATGACTGGCCGTATCGACCGCTCGCCAGGGTGACAGCTTTGACCCCATGTCTGAATATTTTGTCCGCTTTCGTCGAGGGTCGGCTTGTGGCTTTCGTCAGAAGCTTCGGATTGATGATGGTGTTGGGATCTCATGTTTGGCGGGTCCCATCTAATTGCCATTTTTAAGACAAGCACTGAGCACGACATACGAACTCTGCTGTGTGCAGAAGCTAGACGAAAGGCGATATCATTTGAGATAACCTTGTGGTAAGTGCGCGCTGGCAGTCGCCAACAAGAGTCGACCCCGTGGCTCAGTAATGCAAGCTCGACTTTGAAGTGAAGGACATTCTTTATACCAGCTTGCAAGTTGCTGCCATGGCACGTCCACCATCCTCTCATTGCGGCAACTCTCAACACCCCTGACAGTTCGACTTCTCCGACAGCAACGAAGAAGATCACAGGGGATCGATTTCAAGTCAAGGGCAAGCCTGAGCACTTCTCTCGACTGAGCAGTTCAGGGATGGGGCAACATTCAGACTGGCTCGCAGGCCGGCCCAAAGACGCTCTTCTCTTTAAAAAGAAAGTTTCGGGAGCAAAGATGGACCCGAACTCCCGGGGAGTTTAGGGGGTGTTGGGTCTGTGCTTCAAGCTCTTACATGGTTTCGACGAATGTCGTTGGCTGACAGAAGATGAAAAGATGAAAGTAATCGTTGGAGAGATACTAAGACGAGTGCGCCCTCTGCCTACGTGACGACGCGGGTTTGAAGCGTCATCATGTTCTCTCAGAGAATGAATGAACACATCGTCTCGCTTTTGCACCAGTTGGGATAGTATTTGGCAGAGTCCGGCGTCCCGGAGGCTCATCATATTTGGATGAATGAATCATTGACCTTTTTGTGACGTCTGTGCTACGCTTGGAACGTCCGAAGAGCGCTGGAAGGCAGGTCGCCATACCATGGCACAGATTTTGGCCTTGTATCGGGGACTTTTCCTGACGCTTGCCTTCCTCGTTTCCTTCAGAATACGTTCACGAGCTTGTCCACGCAGCCTGACAATAGGCAGCAAAAGACGTTAGATAGATCTGCAACGAGCGAGCACCTCACGCAAGTCGCTCAGGCATATCTCAAGAAGCACGGAGGTGAAAACGTGTCATCTCGATTACATGAGCTCAAAGAGTAGTCCTTCGTTGTTAATAATGTAATGACAACGAATCTGTGAGGCTTGGGTCGAATGAAATCTCCTCGCATGGTATCGGGTTTGCAAGATCCGAGACATTGGGGGTCGAAAGTACAGATTCACTCGAAACACTTAAGGGATGACTGCCCATGTCTTCAAAGCAGACGCCGCCAAATCGCCAGCAGCCCCAACCTGCAGGATCGTCGTTGAATTTTTGGAAAACAAGTAATTTGTCTTCTTTCTCCGTACCTCCTGGAATCTCGAATTGGTGAGACTGGAGCGCAATCCAGCCCGCTTCGCGATATTTTGTCCAGTGTTTTTCGCGCTGCACACGAATAGCAGGTCCCGAACTAGCTAAGGAATGCTCCGGTAGAGAAAACGACATCGCAGCTTCGGTGCCGTCGAAAAGTTCCGAATAAAGTGACCTGCCTGCTAGAAGCTGTTGAGCATCATCGCTAATGTCCATGTCGACTGATTCCTCCTTCGCCCCAGATTTAGGGTTGCCGAAGCTCAGCGTCAGACCGACGGCGCTCGCAGGATATTGAACGGTATTATTCCTTTTTGGGAACTTCCACGGATTCTTCTCCCTCGTAACTTCCTCGTGTGCGCTTGGGTCGAACAACTGGATCAGAAAGCGAATGCGATACGTGCCTGGTTGGAAAGAACGCAGCAAGATGCGTCCCTGCGCGATATTCAGAACGACAAGCTTTCTCCAGTAGGCTTTGAGCACATACAATTGCATGGTGAACGCGTCGACACACCAGAACGTTTGTTGCTCTCTCGAGCATTGCGCAAGCCAGGCTGTTCTTGTTTCCTGCTTTCCATCGATCCCAGATTTCTCGGTATGGATCGACTCCGTCGTGAGTTGGCGCGATCTGAAATCTCCGAGGAATCAACCACTTCCTCCATTCGCACCTTTTGACTGCTTGCTCATCGTGGAATGCTACGTCTATGAGCCAGTGCGTTGGCTTTGATACTCTGCACGATCCAGTAGTCTTGCCATAGTCATTGTCCAGATCCGCCATTTCTTCGTCGTTCCAGCTGTCAACTTCATCGAACAAATCCAAATTTTTGGTAAGACCGGCACTTTCATTTTCGTAGTCTTCTTCTTCGTGCGAGCATTGCTTGATGGCGAACCTCTTCAGCTCGATCATGAGATTTTTTGGGAAGCGCTCGATAATCCTTTGTTGAACGCCCTTTGAATAAGAGCATCAAACGAGTGCCAACCGATCTATATTCAATAGGCCGCCACAAACTTCCGTCTCGCAAGCACGTTAAGGCGAGTGTCATTGATGCAACTCGCGCTGAAGGCTCCACATTTCCTCCGACGATTGAACAATGGCAAGAAGCGACAGGAATATTCTGAGACAAGGCACACAGATCTACCACAGAGTGCAGCGCCCTAGTCACAGCTCGCATTTGCCCATGTCTCTTTTTATTCTGACGGGAAGTGAGAATAGCCTCTAACGTGCATAAGAGCACACTGCCGATAGTGAAACGCCAAGAAGTCCCGTCGCGGCAGCTCAATCTCGTCATCGATCCGAAATCTATCTCGGCGCAATACTTTGCCGTGATACTCCTTCGCCCTGACATCGGCAAAGACGTGGACGATTAGCGAAAATTGATCGCGAGTATCAGGAAATAGTGCCCAATTTCCTTGGTCGAAAGAATGGTGCAGGTCGCTCTGAAGAAGTATACCGTACTCGACTTCGTGGTATGACCCAGGTTGATGTCCCAAGAGCTCGGAATAGTACTGAATGGAACAGAATAGGACTTGATGTAAATCACAAGAGATACGTGACTTAGTTGGACCTGCACTCACCTCCGGGCGACTTTGCGGAAGAATGTGACAGGCGACAGAACTTCTCACCCTATCACTCAGAAGGCACGCGCCATCGCGCGCAAGAAGAGCTCGCCTGAAAGCAGCCTGATGGACAAGTAAGCGCCTGCAATTCTGATGCGGCAAGCAACTGAACAGTACTCACTTGGTTGGTATTCGAGCCTGTCAGAGATGATGCACTCATTGTACTATGCTCTGACTCCGGCCTTGGTGCTCGGTGCGCATATTGTAAACGCGGCCCGATGGTAGGACTACAACCGAGCGAAGAATCATCTACAGAGATTAGGTCATTAAGCCGGAGAAGAATCATGGTAGCACGGGAATGAGCTCACCTGAGCGTACAAAAAGGTACGTGCCAGTCGCAGGAGGTTGTTCGCGATCCAGGTGAGTCCCGTCCACACTACAAATCGTTCCCTCTTCCTTTATGCAAGCAGATAGCGTTTGTTCTACATACTCCCATGTGAGCACATGTCCTTTTCTCATGAACTCGATGGACAGTCCCACGAGCCTGTTGTTCTCCTGATCGACAATTTGAAGGAAGCCATCGTGCGGCCAAAGGCGGGACGTAAGGGAATAGGTCGTCGGAAGATTCATGATGAAGTGGGGCAATGTGATTGCAGGTTTTCACCGAGGCTGAAAGGACGGCAGATCACGTGTAATGTCATGTGACCAAAAAGCTTGAGAACGGAGACACGTGTCGGAGACATCTTGAAAGAGTCAAGATCTGTCCGACTGTGGAATTAGTATGTAGATAGAGACGTCGATCCCTGTCTTTGATCGGAAGATGGCTCCGCATTTTTCCAAATCTTTTTGTTTTTCTTTTCGTGTTCTTTCGGGGCCCGTCTCCTCAACTCGAAGAGCTGTCTGTTCTTCATCACCCGAGGACAATTTCCTTCTTCCCGCTCTCGAGAACTTTTATCGCTTGTCTTCGTCGATTTCTCACGATAGTACTTTGCTTGTCTCCCTCTGGGGTCGTTTGTGATTTCGATTCCGCAACAGCATGGCGCGACAAGATTGTAGTGGTATTTGTGCATGCGAACAGACTACTACCTAGTGGCTTAGACACTTATCACGTGCGCTTGATTTCCCTGTCGCGTAAATGAAAAGAAAGAGTGTATTTCTCTTCGGTCTCAGCAAAGGAGATCAAGAGACTTGTCTGCGCATTTACGTCCGTGAGCAGCGAGAAATAGACGCGTCTCTCGTCCAGCTTTCGTGGTTCTAATGTGAGTTCTCAAAGGAGCGACAATCACTATGCCATTAGTCATAAGTTGCCTCCTTTCTTGCAACGTGGTGTCTGTGCAGCAATTTCGGTCGCCTCTTCGCCCTCACTGCTGGCTGCTCGCCCTCACTGCTGGCTGCTCGCCCTCACTGCTGGCTGCTGGCTTCAGATAATGCTCCGCGGCGCGAGGACTATAGCACATAATTTTAAGATTTTCGAAGGGCGTTTCCGCAGCAAGAACATGCCAGTACTTCTTTGATAATCTGCGTATTGGGTAGCGAAAGGGCTTCCTTCGAATTTCCTCTCTTCAGAGATTGCCGCTCGCCAGGATAGTGCAACGATCAGAGCGATTGAGATCCATGATTGCAGCGACCTGTACTTTGTAATCGCGATGCCGAGAAATTTTAGGATGTACGCTGAATAGAAAGGGTGGTGAACGTAGGCATATACACCTTTACTGACAAGGCTCACCGGTACATCATCGGCACCGATGACAGTGAGTCTCGCTCTTCTTGTCGCATAGACTGCCGACACAAAGAACATCGAACCAAGCGCTGAGAGCGTCACTGCGAGAGAAAAGAATCGTTCTTGAGTCACGGAGGCGCTACCTAAGAAAGAGCACGAGGGCAACGATGAAAATGAAGATGGATGCGTAGATCCGTCCGTTCGCTTGTTTGCGTCGAATGCCACCGGGGCTGCCAGGACGAAGCATGCGAAGTTGACAAGGGCAAGAAATAGCATGTCGTACGGCACAAATTGGGCCAAATGAGCGATCATTCCATTTATATAGGGCCCTTCTTTCTCACGCGCTCACATCGGTCTTCGACGGACCGAAGGAATTTGTCTGTGGTAAGGCGACAATATGCCGCAATAATCTGATAATAAATGTGTCAGGCCACAATATGATAAGACGAAGGGCGATGAGATTAACAAAGAGGCATGACCGTGCAGGATTCTAGACCGTGCGTTGTTTTCTAGCCGGAAAGCGAACAAGAACCTTCAAAAGGAATTATAAGAGTGCAATCTGGCACTACAACATCTCTCCTCTCCTCCCTGAACGTATTGCAGCTCCTCAAGCTAAATACCCTTGAGTGCGATGATCAGACCTCTGAGAGACGAAGCGGCCAAGTGGGCCTTGCCTCAGATTCGCTCTCGGACAACGACGAGCCCTGCTATCAATCGATAGGAAGACAAAGACGAGCCTCCGTCGCAAGAGAAGCTCGAGAGAAGGGCGAGTGTACCTTCAATTCAAGAGAGCGGCCACTTCTATGATCGTACATGGGTGCTAGGCTCCCAAATGGCGCTAATTGCCATATCAAGCATTTGCAAGAAGATCCTCGCTTCCGATCCGGCCTTTAGAGGCTCACAACTACTCAGCATTCTGTTGCGTGTACAGCTTTGGTAAGTTGTTCTCGAATGTACTTGAAGGTCGACATTGACGCTCTCGAAAACAGCCTTTAGCGCTCTACAAGATTGTCCATTGCTTCGGCATAGTCCAGAAGGGTTTGTTCCAATGGCAAGTCGGCTCAGAGCAGGATGAATCTTTCCGGGAACGAAGTGGCGTCAAGGCGGCTAACAGACTAAGCCTATCGTTGGCCAGTCTTTACGTCTTCGAACTATCTGCTCGAACGCTATAACCGAAAGTCCAAACACACCACGTTCTGGCATCAGTCGTGACATTATATGTCACCCAGTGTCTCTATCTGCTCCCTAACTATCCGGCGTACGGTAGGCTTGGCATGTCCATGATCCTGTTTGAGGCATATGGATACGGAGCAGCCACAGATGTCGTCGGTTTCATATACCTACTTTGCCGCCGCACGACGACACACGTGTGTTTGGCTTCAGCTATCGTGGCCCTAGCCGGGGTCTTGCGCGCAGCGCAGTAAGCTGGACATGGCAAATACGATTTATTCTGACGCGCTTTCCTTCGCTCGTGCAGAGCTGGAGCTGGTGGGTACATTGTCAGCCTGCACTTTCCTACTTTGCGCGCCGCTCACTCAGAAAAAGGCGCCGAGGTCTCCTTTTCCCTACTTTGTACATGTTCGCGATAGTGCCCGAACCAATCAACACACTACGTCTTGTCCGACTATGCACCCGTTTCGCACAAAAGCTGGAAAGATAACACTGTGACTTTGCAGCGCCACATTAGGGACCGTCGAGATTTGCCTGTTTGCAACCGGTCCTATATATTCTGGTGCCCCGCTCTCGAATGGCCTTCTTTTCTTCTAGAAAGGATTTAATGCAAATTCACCGTCATCTTCGAGATCCGAATTTGAACGAAGCTCTTGTCCGAATGGAGATGAGAAGCCTCACTGAAGATCTACAGCCAGTGGAAAGTGTTCCCAACAGAGGCATGAGAAGCTTGACTTTCACTCGTAACTTACCGAGCAGCAAGGAGTGAGTCTGCAACCCAGTCACTCACTCACTATCTTTAGATTCTCAGAATACTAGCGAGACTCTCGGCCTGTCACTCACCTCTGTCTTTCTTTCAGTCTTTTAAAGTCCTTTCTGGACTGTCACAAAGAAATCAGGCAGACATTCTCGGGGACTACATTGACGTGCTCAAAAGAGTTGAGAGAGTCTGCTCCCAGCATCTTCCAGGTTGGCGGTTTCAGTCATGGTCGCGCTTCGACACAAAAGCGTTGGAAGCTGGCGGTTGCTGCTCATCGGTCGCTCCCAAGCATGGGCACGATGATGAGGGAAAAGATACACAAAGATCGACAATCGTGCTAGAATTAAAGCTGATGCACGACAAGGTGAGTTCCGGGGGCAAACGTATCGTCCGCCGCTCTATGGGGCTGGTCGATAACCAAGATGGGGGAAAGCGGTACCGTATGGCGGTCGGATGAGTGGATGGATATCAAGACCCAATTGCGCGAGAAATTTACAGCAGAATGTTGATGAGGAATGTTGATGAGGTTGGTGAGGAGATGCTCGACGTGTTGGGTGACCTCGGCCAAGTCAACAAGCATTTCACTGCTCTGAACGAATTCCAGCGCTTTCGCGAGGTGGCCATGAGCGTCGTCCGGGAGCTTAACGGGTTTTCTCGCGTCATCATCAATCAATTCGATAAGCGGTGGAATAGACAGATGGTGTGTTAGACCTTTGACTGAAACAATACCCACAAGCTCTAACGAGGTATGCACTTTCCTGCCACCAACTTTCGAGAACTACACATGATCAGCGAATGTTGTCTCCTCTACGTTACAATGAGCACTCCGCGGATGGTACACAAGGATGAGGATGAATCCAACTCGCACTTTGACATGATTCATCCTTTTTAAAGTCCCATGAGCCGTTAGCCGTCAGGTGTCTCGAAAATAAGGGAGTGCCCGCCTTCATGCGCATATTCATCTCGGTTCTTGACCAGCTCAAGAGCCTCACTGTCCTGCATTCGTATGGTCCAAAGGGCGAGCACGTCTTGTTCTCGTGCACCGGATCTGCCGTCTCCTGGGCGAGTCGTCGTTGCGCAACTTCGACCGTTTGAGCTACTTCCACCAGGTTTCTGCGAAGACGCTTGACACTGACGATAACCCAAGTTGCTACGTCATCTCGAATGCCAAATACTTCTCGCACCTTTGATGCCCATTTTTACTCAGGGCCATTGGCGACGAGACAAATATTCTAGATCCGCTGAAAGGCAGTTAAGAAGATTTACAGCGACTAATATCTGCCGATCAAAAATCCCTGCTGGTCGTCACCTCTGAGGATTCAGCCTCGAAGTTTTTTCGAAAAGGCCCTTCTTCCGAACTGTTAGAAGGTCATTGCTAGTTCCTCTCACGCTTTGGTCCGACCCGGGCTTCAACTCTATCACTTCTTGGGAAAGTGCAGACGAGACAAGTCAAATGAATAGAAGGACATGACAGCATCGGAACACAGAGATCTGCACAAGACCTGGTAGACACAATCATTCGAGCCTACTGAGCCCGGAAGAACGGAAGGAGGAGATAGTGTCAACGCTGTGATTGTTTGACAGCAACTCTATCAACATCTGACTGCAGTGAAAGAAGGCAAAGTGGGGCAACCAATCCCTCAAGCCTTTCCTCCCCGACTCTTGAAAGAAGATGCAGCTGCTACTCAACAAAATCATCACCTACCTCGTAATGACTCTCGACAGCCAGCTGAGCCTTGAGACGCTCAGATTCGGAGCAAGTTGCACGTAGCATCAAGGGACCTGCTTTTTATTTATCAAAGACCTCGACCTGCACTGACCTGGCAAAATCAGTGCAGTAGGGTCTTTCACCAGCTGCCATTTCATGTGTCGGATACAATCAGAATCTGTCAGTGAGTCGCAAAAAGTTCTGAGTGCAGTTAAAGATGTCAATTTTTGGGCGCTCGCAACGAATCCCGGACAAAGCAACCAGAATGTTGACTATGCCACTTTTGGCGTTGGTCAGCTTGCCAGGAAAAAATGAATCAGAACGCATAGCTTGACCTGAGCTTTCAGGGTGTAGCCCCGGGAGAGAATTAAGTCCCGGAGAAGAGACGTGACGTAGGGTTTGCCATACCAGAAGGTCTAGATCAACAAGGGCCCGAAGAAGGACTAGGGCCTTTCCGCCGCTGGATTCCTTACTGGACGTATGCGTGTACAACATGGATCAAAATGGCGGTTTCACAATTAAGCAATCAAGCCTTTTATCTATAGAGAACCGGAACGGTGTGCTAGGTTTATCTCATCTGCGGGCGAGTATACCCCACTTTCAATCGGATCCTTATTTGGAATTGTTGGAATTCGAAAATGTGTACACGTCCAACCGAAGTCTGGAGGAGCTAGTATTGAGCTGGGAACGGCACCAAGCTCTGAATGCTCGCAGTGAAGGACAGAGAGGTGATCGAAAAATTTGCGCAAAACCACCTCTAGATGATCCGAGAATTTTAAGATTTTCTTATGAAGGCGATATTGATCGGAAATTGTGGCCAGAATGGAACGGTCTCGATCGGAACAAGGCTGCAAATTTTACGCAAGGTGAATGAATAGGCCTGTTGACGCCGTCCTGGGCATCGCCGAAACGGCGAAAATCGGCCTCCAGCCTGCTACAAATGGAAATTGAAGCCAGCGAGTGTAGGCATATCGGCAACGAGATGCTCCGGTGGAAGAGAGGTCCGGTGGCAAAACACGGCTTGTGTACTATTAAACTCAAGAAAATTTGCAACCGCACCCAAACACTTCTGCTTTCAAGCCGTGTACTCAAGTCTGATAACAGTCACTGGAGTCAACGAAAAAGTCCGAAAATAAAAGAATGCTAAGCAATACTCAGAGACAGGTCGTCTCTAGGACTTAACTACATCTAGCCCCGAGTGCTAGGCTCTTTCATCTTTCTTGCTGTCGCTCGAAAATGCTTCGAGAGAGTGATCGACCTAACACGCTACCAGAAATTGTGTTGCGTGTAGATAGAAGCTGTAATCTCAATACTTCACAGTGAATTGTCTGTCTGCTATAAGGGAGCCGGACTGTATTTTGGCCTGAATCTTCACCAGATACGCCTTTTGTTTCCATTGTTCCCATTGTTCCATTGTTTCCATTGTTCCCATTGTCCCCATTGTCCCCATTGTCCCCATTGTCCCCATTGTCCCCTTTGTTCCCATTGTCCTCATTGTTCCCATTGCTCTCGTACTTATCTTCGTACTGTCGTTTCCATCGTTCTCGCTGTGTTGACACAACTCGCAATGGACACGAGTAAGCTATGTCCAGCAACTTATGACAAATGGGTTTTGGACTGGTTCTCTGCCAAGTGATGGAGAAGCTTATCGGTTGACTGGAGCCAGGACGCGTTTGTGGCGCTGTCGCAGACGAGATTGTTGAAGTACCACTCGTGCTTAAGTCAGGTACAGTGAATCAAATTGTTGCATCTTGGAAGAAATTGCTGACAGGAAAATAGAGCTGGATGTGACGGGTTGCAAGGTGCCAAAAATGACGGCTGCAGCGTGCCTAGTTGTCAATTGTCAAAGAATGAATATCGAGCCAAGGCTTGGAGAACTAAGGTCGTACTCGTGTCATGGACAGTTCATTTGAAGCCCACAGGGCCACAGGGCCATTCTCCGAGCCTGCCCTTTGCCTAGCACATATTGTGGCAACGCATCTAGCTTGCATATTCTTGGCTTAAAACATTCCAAATGGAGAAAGAGAGGAGAAGCCGGCGGCTGAACTTAAAATAAAAGGATAATGACTGGCCCCATCGACACCAAAACGTCCGACGAAGCTGACAAAGATAACGAAGCTGCTCCACGAAACAATCTCCGCCTGCTCAGTGGATCTGTTTAATTCGCTGTACCAGATCCATATGATTTGCCATAATCGACGAGAGCATGGCGAAGGTAATGGTGTCGATCTTCATGACGTTGATTAGCTCTGCGCGGTCGAGAATCGAGACTCCAAACAGGTGCGCTACGATGAAAAACTTTCTTGCCCGCTCGGCGCGTTTTCGAAGTCCTGCGTGATTTGCAGGCTCACTTCGTTGATTCTGCAAGATCTTCAGTAGGGCTGGATACGCTTCGTCATGGAAGCCCTTGCTTGCGACGTATTCGAGCGAGCTTGTTGCGGACGACACGATCAAATCCGCGTAAGCACGTCCAAATTCGAAATACTTCGAGTTCACGTCTTGAGATGCACCGTAATGCTGACTCTCAGCATGACCAAGACTCCGCAAGGCAAGAGAGACACGGCTTGACCTATCTAAGCTCTGAGAAGAGTGTTCAAAGAGGTTATTCGTGGACATGACAGTCTGCGTCCAGTCCTCTCTCCTCATTCCCGATGTAGGATACTGTACGGTTTGTGTTCGTGGCTTGTCCAACAATTCACCCATGAGTTGCTGAAGCCGTCGCTCGTGGCGCTCAACAAGAGCCTTCTTCTCTGAGGCTGGAAGCTTCGATCTTCGGTGAGCTCTGTCTTTAGCATCTTTTGTGATGTTTTTCACCTGGATAGGATAGAGAGTCAACGATGGTCGCAAGATTTGAGCTCAAGATTCCTATTTTGCTCACCACAAATTCCTTTCCTCGAAAAGAGAAGAAGAGGTCTGGCGCTTTGTCCAAGCTTTGAAGTTGTGCCCGGGCGAGTGCCTCAAGGAACGCTCGATAAATGATCGCTACGTGAGTAGGTTCATTCTTCCCTTCTCCTGGATCCATATACTCTCTAGCCGATTGAACGAAGTTCTCGATCCCCGAAATCCGTAAAAGCTCGGATTCCGTGGGTAGAGTGAGCTCGATTGGGGAGTCTGGCATCGATAACCTGTCGAGTGTGCTGAAGTGAAGATGATCGAAATTTAAGACCACCCAGAGCCTTTATCCTCTATTATAGCCAGGTGCCATCATACAAAGGGAACAAACTGGACAAAGGGATCTGAGTCTTCCACAGTCCCAGACGTGAAGTTAAATCAATTCGCGTTTTGTTTCTGAAATGTATCTAATAACACAAAAACGAAGGTCAAGTTTTGAGGTTGTACACTCTGTCAAACACTGCAAGCGTAAGAGGCAGTATAGATAGACCGTTCTCCGCTCAAAGGTACCAGAGCTGGAAAGCGCAAGTTCTTACGCTGCTCGACAGCCGGCGTCTTTCTTTGTCAGCTGCAAGTCGCCAAGAGCACGTGACTATAAGGTGTCACGCCCTGATCGGATCAGCCCCTCATCACGATGAGCAAATCGTCCTACCTAAAATGGTTTTCCGCCCGACTTAGATTCAGAATGTAGCTCGGGGCCTGACTGGCTCATTTGAAGACCCATTTGTTTAATGTACTACCTTGTCCTCGTAACATCATGAACATTGGCACCAGCATGAACATTGGCACATTGCAAGCGAAACCTCTCTACCTCGGTCGTCGTCTGCTGGGCGAAGGAGGTTTCGGCAAAGTCTATGAAGTAGAACGAGCCTCGGACAAGAAGGTGTGTTCATTGTGCAGCGAAGAAATTTGAAACGAGCTCCGCTCAGCCATAGAAATCATAGCTTTTCGCTCTAAAAATGATCACGGTCAACACCAATGCCGAGCAACGAAAGGTTGCTGCTCAAGAAGCAGCACTTCACTCGAAATTGGCACACCGCAACGTTATCGCTTTACTCGAACATTGGGAATTCGAACGCTCTTTGCATCTTCTTATGGACCTGGGGACTTATGGGGACCTAGAAATGTTTCTGGCTCAGAGGAACAAGTCTACGTAAGTCCGGTTTCTCTGTTATTCAATCATTAGGCTGAGAAAGATGGTCGATTGGTGAGCGACAGCATTGAGCTCCGACGAAATCTCTTTGCACAAGTCTGCGCCGGATTACATTACCTTCATGAAGGTCAGGACAACCAAGTGTCGGTGATTCATCGCGACTTGAAACCCTCCAATGGTAAGCAGATAATTGATTCTATGCCTGTCATACAACACATCGTGGGATGTGGCGAAGACACTGATGCAGAAAAATGAAGCTCACTGATCAAACTTGCCAGTCCTGATCGACCACAATTTCTGTGCAAAAATCGCCGACTTTGGCTTGGCAATCGTACGTGACAAACACGCGAAAGGACATTGGGGCATCGCAGGTGTAAGCACAGAGGTCCCTCATCCATCGTACCATGCAACCGTGCTTACTGCATAGGTGCTTCATTCTTTACCTCAATGCAGACGCCTGGCTTCAGATCGCCAGTGAGTGGAGAATTTGTGCTTGAGACACACGAGCTGTGGCTGTTGATCCTGTCCCTACCCTCTTCTGTGGACAACAGGAAATGCTGAGAGGCGAAAAATACGGCGTCAAAAGCGACTTGTGGTCTCTCGGATGCCTTTTTTTTCAAATTCTGACAGGAAAGTGAGTGCCGCGTAGACTTGCTGAGGATTTCAATATCTCACATAATTCTCTTTTGATAGACACCTGTTTGATGAAGGTGGTGTCAACAGAGATCAAAATATTTTACGGAGTCGTAGCTTGGCCGCTCTCGCCGATCTCAACCTTCCTGAGAAAAACGTGGTCAACAGTCTTCTTCAAGCTGTGGTGAGCTCTTGTACGGCTCTCAATGAAATTGCATTGAGACACTTACCATCTTCTCTGTTCGTCACCGTCACATTTGCTTCTGCTGAAACAGCCATTGCAGAGACTGTCCTCGGCCCAGCTACTTGCCAATTCTGCTATCATAGATTGGCTTGTAGACACGCCCCTTCAGTGAGTTCATCCTTTTCGACCAAATAAATGCTTCTAATGCAGCCCATCGGAAGTCTTGATGATGTGCATCGAGAAAACACTCTGGTCGATTCCGCATCTCCCGTCGGACCGCCTGAGGAGACGAAAATGATACCTGTACATCACAAGCTCGTGAGGCACCCGAGCCTCTCGCCTCTTTTATCCTTTGTCACTGCTCAGACCTCCGACGAAAGGTGCGTGCACTTCTCTATCTACCCTTTTCCCCGACTGCGACTCATCTCATCTTTCTTTTAGGCAAAAGGCCGTGCATTTCCGAAAAATAAAAATCGGCCCATGATCAACTCATCGGAAATTGGAGCAATCAAGGTGCTGTCAAACCCACAGAAATCCTAATTTCTTCGATAGTTCGACTCGATGTAGCACAGATGCAGTGCAGCGAGGCCGGGCATGATCTAACGAGCTGTATGAAGTGTGCACTTTGACACGCTACCTGTTCTGCGTTGTAAATTCCTCCTACCACTCTCGCTCTTGTAAGAACGAAGTGATTCTTCGAATTTCGACCTGAATGAAGCCGTGCAAGCCCCGAAAGACGGCTGTGAAAGAGCCGCATGTCTAACTTAGTCCAAGAACGCGCAAAGTTGAGCAATGCGATCACAGCGCAGCATTTGTAATGGTAAGCAGTCTTGATTTACGAGTCGTAATTGAATTGAGCAACTATTCTACTCCTTCACAAATATCCCGGATAACGATTCGCTCCGATCAATGCACGAGGGAAAAGCTTGGGTATCATCAATCACGAAGCGGAATTCAGTCACTCGGATATTTCATGTCAAAGCGCTTGTGCTCTGAATCGGTGAATTAGTCTCGCTATCCATGGTACATCTTCGGTCGTGCATCGCGTTCATACAAGCAGAGGCCTGGCTTCATTCTCATTCTGCACGTATAATAGCCCCTTGAGGGGCTTGATGAGGACTGTAAGCCTCCTTAGGATGGAGACTGCAGCCAGCGAGTGCAGTCGAACCGGGAAGGACACGCTCCGGTAAGATTAAAGGTTGGTCCAATGGCAAAGAGAAACGTTTGCAACCGCATTGGGAGATGGAGGTCAATAGAGTAAATGAAGAAACAATGAAATTACATATATCATACCAAGCAATGCTTGGAGACGAGCTGTCTTTGGGAATTAAAAAATGTTGAACACCGAATGCTAGATACACGGCAATAACGACAAGGCTCTTCCTTGATTCTCGTTATCGCTCGAATAAATTGTTTCTTGTCTACCTTAAAGAGTGATCGACCCGATACGCAACCAGCATCATGGTTCGTGAAGGAATCAGCTATGGTGCCAATAGTGCACATTCATTATTCTGCTTGCTGTGCAGTGCTTGAAGGAACAATTGGTAGGCTAGAGCCTAGGTCGAGGGCTCTTCTTCATCAAAAAGATGATTAGATCCACTTTGCCGTAGAGTTGAGATTAGTGCAAGGCAGTCGCCCTCCTTTTTTTTTTTTTTGGGGGGGGGGGGGGGGTGGGCCTGACGTAGCGCTAAAGCTTGGTTTCTGGGCGAAAAGCTGAACTTCTCTAATTAAAAAGTCGACGAGACGTGAGTAACAAATGTTCTGCATTTGCGACGGGTTGTACCTGGAGCGGAAGAAACAGAACATTGGTGAGCATTGGATCATCAAAACTTCCTGTGTTGTCGCCCTCGTCTTCGGCCGGAGAAGCGTTCTGCAAAGCGATTTCACACGCGAAGTAAGGTTTTGAGTCGTGGAAGGGATTCAGCGCTCGAAACCGGTGACATTCTTCGGTCAACATGTGATCCTCCGTGCTATTGAGCACTCGCGCAGAATTGGCTTCCACGATCTCGAAGGAACTCTCAGAAACCGCCCGCTTCCACATTCCCTCATACTGCCACACATTCGTCGATATTCGAGATGATAAATTTCTCGCCGAGCTGTATGTCGGCCTGAATTCAGGCGCATGAGGTTGTCCGAAGTACAATGCCAAGGTTTCGACCTCAGCAATGTTGTTGCACACGCACAAGCAAGAGATCAAGGCATTATTGATCGCCGCAGTCTGTTTCGATTCTTAGAAGGCAGCATCGACGCAACCTGAAAGAGCTGACCCTGGAGAATTGACTCTAATCCCATTTCAAATCATACAAAGCTCCATTCTGTCAGGAACAGAGCGAGACGTCTGGTGAAAGTGCGGTGAAAGCGATATAAGTCTCGACCGGAGCTGAGCGTAAGAAATTTGACCGCAAAAGAAGTCAGCGAAGTGCGCGGAAGAGAAGTACAAATGGGACGACCATGTATGCTGTCGTTCGCGTTTTCGAAGGAGCAAACGATCATCAACGTTTTCGGCTGTGCTCAACACCTTCGATCGTGTGTAAGTCAAAGGTGCTGCAAGACGTCGAAACACCATCGGTTGACCAAGTATCTCTGACCATGGATGGGCTGCGACGTCTCTTGTGAAGCTAATTCTTTCCGCGAAATTTGCGGGGAATGATGCCAATGATCAGTCTTGCTGGAGGTGAGAATGTCGTTTATCCTGCGCAGTCTGTCATGATCTAGATAACAAATGAGAGTTCGATATATTGCGTGGAAAAATCTAGGGATCGCCAAGGAGCTTCATACTCGCACCATGAAGTTCGCCTACTGCGCTTAGACGACCTTCCGCAGGCCTTCAAGCATGGCTACAACACTAGGTCGAAATCGCTCTTCGACCCAAGACGAGGCCCTCTTTGAGAGCAAGAGCAGTAAGAAAAGGTTCCAATAATCGGTAATGTCGCCTTTCCAGATTGTGACTAAATGCTGTATCGGAGAAGGAGCAAAATGAGTTGTGGACATCGGTTCCTAGACCTTGCAGATTAATCACGATATTTTGTGCGATTGATGCATCTGAGATGTCACTTTGAAAGGCGATCAGAGTTTCGAAGGTTGGGCCCTCTGAGCATATCGCCAAGACCGAAAGAGGAGAAAAACGTTGTCCATTCGTGTTAAAGTAGACTTCCTCCAGGCGTTCGATCATCTTCAGACAGGTAGCAGTCTCTCCTGCAGCTTGATTCTCGGCATAGAGAAGAGGCTGGGAGTCGGACTTGGCTTCGAGGATGATACAGGGAAAAGCAAGTTCTTGAATGCCAGGCGAGGGCCAAGGAGGAATCGCGTGGCGAAGCGAGAGTGCATTCAGATAGCTTCTCGACAGTACTGCGGCCTCTGAATGCCGCTCCCTCAGATATTGCTGGGAAGATTGCTGCGTTCGAAGCCCGAAGCCCATGTCAGGCTTTGGCGCCGCCAAAGGTTCGGCCTCGGCGGACAGTAGACCCACTGGCTGAGTCCAGGTGACGTCTTCCCTGCACGTGAGTGTTCAGGGATGAAGAAAGTGGTGATCAGGACTGCATGCGACGCCACGAGACATGCGTGCTCGGCGACAATCTTTCAGGCGCTTTAGCTGAACTCACGTGTATTGCAAAGCGCCGTTCGTCCGCAGGTCGCTGACCAGTTCGCGAATCATCTCCATCCACCTGAACTCAACCTGACCAATCAAGCTCTGCGGGCGTTCTAGCATTTCCTTCGCTTTCTGAAGAGCAATGATTGCATCCCTTGCGGGCGTAGTGGCCTCATCGACGAAAGCCCTCTCAGGTATTCTGTCCATCTCCTCCGATCCAACAAGAGCTACAGCCTTTTGACCAAATTAAAAATTAAGAGGGGATATCGTCAATCGCAGTCAGAGAGTGAGGACTCACGTCGGACCTTGAGATGATGCCTTTAAACGTTTCCAACGTCAGAAATGCCTCCATTTCTCGCACATGAGGGGGCCACTAATTTCACTTGACGCGATTGATGTATATCCCTGCACCTTCCAGATTCTGTGTGCGGTACGTACGACTGGCAGCTTTGCTTACCGTACTCGCCCAAGTCAATGACTGTGGCATCAGTCTTCCATTTGCGAGCGGAAAATGGTATCAAATCACAGGACCATGCTGATGATCTCCTTGTCCGCGTCTTCTTCGCCTCCCCAGAATGCTTCATCTGCAAACTAGATTCATGCTTGAAAGAACGGCGAAGGTATCCCACATTTAAAGCACTCTATCGCATTTGTTTGCAGCTATTTCTGTTGGACAAATGGGAAAATGACACGTCCATTGACTTGGGCGAGTACGATTTCAACTTTTGATCTCGTCTCTCTCCATGCCATCGATAAGAAGCCAGATTTCTGAACAAGGCTCGAGATCTGGTAATTGGGCTTCTGCGGAACTTAGGATTGGCCCGGCTTGAGATCTGCAGCGGGAGAGATAGTCGTGTACGACGGAGAGAAAAGACCCCTTGGTTTGTCCTTCAACTCTGACCTCTTCGAGCGCAAGCCGCTCTTCCTATGCAATCGGGTCTTGCGGACAAGGAAGATCGGAGCTACTGATACGACGTACGTCGAATAATGCAGACAGAATGGCAAATGACCCTGAGCGTTCTGCTCCTCCGTCCATTTCTTTCCCGCGGCGAGGTGACCTGTTGCTTCTCCCTCACTTTCCTTCCGGCTGCGAGGCGACGGAGTAATGCAAGGAAGCAGGTGTCGTCCTTCTGCATCGTCAAAGGGAAAGAAATCAAAAGTAGCAATTCTCCTTGGCTTGAATGAAAGGCCATTGGTGAGCAGCTAAGACAATGCTCGATCGGCCTGCAACTAGCACGAGCTTCTCTAGGTCGACAGGTAGGATCATTGTGTGAACCCATCTCATGCATGAATTGAAAGAGGGAACAGGCGGCTGCTAGCGACAAGAAGCCGTCCAACTTTTCCAACGGTAAATACTTGACATCCTCGACACCAAATGCTCCTGGGCATAACATCTGCGCACACGTACAAAGCAAGAAGCGGCTTTTGCGCGCCAAAAGAGCACCGAATTGCTGGTGCATTCGACTGACGAGGTTGCTGCTGACACCGTTTCGATCTAAACTGAGAATAAAATGCTCTCCGGCCTGACTATTCAAAATTATTACATTTCCGTACCCTTCGAGGACACGAAGCATTGTTCTAGACACACGGTTACTTCGCGATACTGCTGCTGAGTGAACGCGTCCGCACCAGCTTAGCGCGGCACGAAGTCGACTACACAATGTACGGCAGATCACGTGCGTGCACCCACAGACATCTACTTTCAGACCTGTACCTTCTCTCATTCTGCAATTTCCAGTCATCATAAATACAGCGAATATTCAGCTAATTTCCGGAATACGAGGGCATTCTTCGCCCACTGCAATGATACGACTTACGAAGCCCCTGGACGAAAAGCTTTGCTGACGCTCTGGCGCTTTCTTGAAGAGCTCTCAGCTTAGAAGCGAGAATCATCGCTCGCTGACACGGCCGTTTGACTCTCGATCACAGCCACTACACGCCAGTGATTGAAGCGAGCGATCTCATTAATCACCAAAACGTGACCTATAAGTGTCTCGGGCCACGCGGACTTATAAGGGGACGGACGCGTCGCGTTCTATGGATGTCCCACGTCCACATCGATTATTTTTCGCGAGCAACGATGGCGACAACCCGATATATCGGTAGAGAAAGGGATCACCATCGCGAAGCGATCCTTCGACAAAAGCAAACAGTCCGCGACGACGAGGAGGATGCTTATTCGCGGGCGCGACTTGCTGTATCATCGGCGCCTTTGTGCCAATCACTGCCAGATTTTACAGTAGTGATTGAAGTGAGCAAATTCAGTCAACACGAGATTCAATTGGCCTCAGCTAACGTAGATTCGAATCGATTGATGTAGTTCTGCAACAGGAGTAAATGGCTTCACAGAGCAATCTGGATCCAAACTGAGCTCTTCCTTTCGTTTCCAAAAGCTAGCACACGTTCTACAATAGAAGAGCCGCCAACAAAAGCCTCGAGCGAAGGTTTTATCGAAGCGATAATGCTCCACCCCCAGTCAGCAAGCGATACAGCCGGGAGATTCCGTGTCTTACTCCATCTGGGCGAGACGAAGACCATCTGGGACCGCCAGATCAGAGGATCGTTCCCAGATTTGAAAGAGCTCAAGCAGATTATGAGGAGTCTAATAGCGGACTATGAGAAGTGCTAAGCTTCCTCAGACTTTCTGCAGCGGCACAGTCGCTCTCACTTCAACCTACCGCCTCTTTCTTCGCACGAATGATCGACAAAATTAAGGATTCCCGATCTCAATAGCAATTCGTTTGAGTCTCAAGGCGATGACGAACCTATGACCATTTCTCTGTACCCGTGTGATAGGGGTCTAATTGCCTCTGCAGCAGGTCATTGTCGACGATATCAGCCAATGTATAAATTGTCTGGCCAGCCGGATTACTTCATGGTCCAGCACTGACTGTCGAGCAAATTGAAGCCGACAGTAATTATGGTGAGGCGTCTGTCACGACAAAATACGTCACGGCCTTTTCCCATCTACACATAGTCAAATGCTGCAGAGCTGCGTTTGCTAGATCTTAATCTCGCGGAATGCGTGCACTCCGCGAAAGTAAGGAAAGCCCATGAACTCCCTCCAGATTGGATTATCTGGATGCTTTCCTGTCCTTGTTTTCGAAGAGCGTTAGAACAACTCATCGATGACTAGACTGCCACTGATCCTTAGGAGCGCTCACGAGCACTGCTCTCAGCACCGCCCTTAACAAAGAAGGTGAATGTATCGTGAGTCGGACATGTGTCTTTTCTCTCGTAAGACAGTGTGCGCAAGAGTGCGGCGACTAGATTAATAATTTAGAATGAATGTTTTAATAGATCGCGAAGTGCTAGGGGCGTGTCCTGAAGTGTTGACTACATGAGTCATCAAACATTCTCGAGTAATTACAAAAGATTGCCTGCCGAAGGCTGCATAAGCACAACCACATAGGCAGTCATTCTGGCGGCTCAACAATCGCAAACACTTGCTGCGCAAATTCGAGTAATATTAACTGACAAAGTTCGCTTCAAGTGGCATTCGCAGCTTTCCCAACGACTAAAGACATCGCCAGGAAACCTTCATACAGACACGCGACGGTGAAGTTGGCTAAAAGGAGAGATTGTGGCGATGAAAGAAGAGGCGTCGATCTCTGCGCAGCGTCTGTGCTTCATAGCTTTATATATTGCACTTCTCTAAATGACTGAAGACGGGTCGCTGCAGAGCGTCATATCCTAATTATACGCAAGACCACACAGAGAATTACCAGGCTTTGTGAACAAGAAACCCGGGGACGATTTGACATTGAACTGCTGTCAGAGCAGTAAGAGCTACAGGCATACAGGCATGATTATTTGGATTCATCGAACCCGTTTGTTGCTTACACTAATTTTTAATCGCCAACATTAGATTCGCGTGTGCATTGATCGACTTTGGATTTTTGACCAGTTTCAGAGACAGTTTATACTTAGTGGCGGTGATCTTTCAATGTCGAACGAAAAGATATTTTGCGACGAACATCTCAGTCGGTGTCCGGGTCCGTCCAGTGTTAGATACATGCACCTTTCAAGTGATAGGTATATCTTTTAAGTCCACGATGGCTATTTGTGCGGCCCCTGCGAACAACTGTATTATCCACGTCTCGTCATCTAGATGGACTAAAAGGGGGCTTACGGAAACCCTAGCTCAGCGCTTTGATGTCAACATTCGTGGCATGCAGTGATAACCTGCAGGCTGAAAAGAAGGAAAAGGTATCCAGCCTCCTAGGTCATACTACGAACGCGAGCGTTTCTTCGTCTTCCCTCTGGCACATATGATGATCATCTTCGTGTCAAGAACATCACTCAACCGTTCTTGCGAGCGTCTTGAACACCTGGTGTCCTTCACTGTCCATCTTTATCTCAATTTGGCGTCTCAGGAGACTGATTTGATATGCCATACTACACCTTTGTTATTTTCTCGAACAGCACTGTGAAGGTGGAAAATCACCATTTTTCTATTTTTTCAACGCTGAAAATTGCTGGCCAGACTGTCAAAATATTTAAGAAGCTCTCTCTAAATTTTTTTTAAAATCATCGAGGTTGCATGAATGAGCACTACTTTCGCTTGATTACACATTCATCTCTAAAATTTGTTGGAGAGTTTACCGATACGACAAAGTCTATGATCGCCAAGTCAAGGAGATTATCTCAAAACGGCTTTTAGTTGCTCCATGGACCATCACTGTCTCGACTTGTCTGGATGCAGGGTACGCTCTCTGTCTGAAAGATGAACGAACCTCTCAGATGCCGTAATTCCGTCAGCCTACAGTACCTGAGAGATCTTGGACAACAATTGGTGGCATACTGACGAGCATGTAACGTAACAATCAATAAAGCTTTCTATGACAATGAACATGGGTGATGAAGCACCCGGGGTTACGACAAGATCTGAATGGGCATGGGAGGTGCAAAATTATCTCAACGGGAAACAAACGCGTAATTGGGACTTGTTACAAACGGACACCCTCCCGCACCTTGCGCTTCTTACACATGTTGCCTTTCACCCATACCGTTCTCAGCTTTCTCTGTAAGAAGGCTTAATGCGAAGTCTGTGAGAGTAAGCTTTGCGAAGGTGGCCATATCAAGAACACAAATCTTTTTTCACAAAAACGAACGCATCTTCATTAATTTTTTGAAGTAAGCATCGAGCATCTGCAATCCTCCCGCGCTCTTCAATCCATTTGATGATGTTCCTCTACCACTGTGGCCATAATTGTGCACAGATGCAATGTATATTCTCGCCACGAAGAATATAGCCTTATTTGCACGTTCGTCCTGTGACCCTCGCTGACAACGACTTCCCTGTTCAAGCGAGCTATGCGCTGACCCCTTGGACTGCGCTCTTTCATCGCTTGTGCATGCAAATGAAGTGATGGGACAAGAATGTGGATGTCTTCAAATCCAAGAGCTTGCGCTTGTTCGTAAGAATGCAGCAGGACTGCTCGAACGCGACCGGCACTGTTCTGGCGAAGCCACTTCTTTTGGAATTTCCATAACAGCTTGTTACCTTTCTCCCACTGTGAATCGTCCTCCAGCGCACGTTCGTGGTGATGTAATGCTCTCGTGACCATCGGGTCTTCCAGATCTAGGATGCTATCAATATCGAGTACTGGGAATCTTCTCGCAGCCGTGCTTTTGCCCCCTGCGGAGGGTATGACGAGGGCAATGCATGTCAAGAAGTTGCACACCGTATCGCTTGTTGCTTTCCTTCCTTTTCGTGCTTCCTCATTATCGACCTTCATTTGTACACGGCCTTTATGCTTCGTTTTCGATCAGGCTCGTTGCCAGATTGCCACCGTCTTGTGCGAGATTCAAGGGAGAGCAGACAATACAGCAGCAGGCCCACTTGTTTCGCCTTCAATTGCCACTGTATTCGTAGATCAGACGCAAAAGACGGGTATTGGATCATCAAAGCTTAGGTTGCATCTTGAAATCGTAAGTATGTAGAAGATGCTCGACGCTTTTGCTACGCGCATGATTCGGTATTACGAGGCTTTCTGGCGCCCTTTGATCTCTTCCATCGAGGAAGCAAGCGATCGTCTTTTTAGATTAGAGCATAATGTGGAGCAAAAGTTTACTTCTAATACAGGGATCTGGTTGATCCTCGATGTTTTATATTTATGATATTTTTGTTTTGGGGATTATCAAAAATTAATCTGATGGTTCCACAAATCTTATTTTTTCGGTGTGAACGCAGCGTGTTTCCGTCAATTTCCACGAGGAGCATGCTCCGCAACGTCGATAGAGGAAAATCCACACACTGTACTCTTTGGGATCGTGCAAAGAATAAAGAAAGGCGATGCATGTGATCAACCCATACGGTGCATACGGCTTTTCAACTTTTGCTGCAGGAAACCTTCCCTTTCAGAATTGTTTGTGTACATATGGTCTGCATGCAATTCAGAAGAATAGGAGAGAAAACTGAAGAAGCATCACGACGCTAAACGTTAGCTCGCACGGCCATTCGCCTTCAGTTCCCTTTTGGGTGTGGTTCTGAGACACCAAGTCTGCGTCACTCCTCGAGAGGCCAGAAGCGATGATTGATGATTCACAATGGTACGCTAATACTACATTGCACGGCCGATTCGCCTTCTTGATGCGCTAAACTGAGCGACACCCGTTCGATGAGCGATGCAACCTCCGCGACGACCTCATGGTCAGGATTGATATTGTGGGTCCCCTTCAGCGCAGTCATGGGTCCAAGGGTCAGAGTCAGAAGAGAGGAAGTGCACTTCCTCACGCTTCCAAATCTTTCGACGCTTTCGAAGACTCCCGCCCTCAGAGCTGGCACCGGTACCGGCGCTGGTATCTTCGCACTTGCACACCACGTCCCCCGCTCCCGCAGATCGACGTACTTGGGCGCACCGCAAAGCTCAGCAGAAGGAGCCTTAAAACAAGATCAAGGCCCAAATGGACAGCTGGGACGACTTTGTGGCTGTTGTTGATGGTCCTGACTCGCTTCAAGCCTGCCTCCGAGACCTCAAGACAGCAGCTTTTGTCTCATTAGCGCTGAAAGGAAGGATGCTCAGTCGCCACGGAACAATCTCCGTACTATCGATCCGAGCGGGCGGCAATATGTACCTCGTCGATGTGCATCTTCTGCAAGTCGCCGCTTTCACCACATCGGCAGGAAGAGTCTCTTTAAAGGGTATCCTAGAAAGTACTAGCGTGAAGAAGGCTGTGTACGACGTGCGGAATGCCGCAAATGCACTTTTCTTTCTCTTCGACGTTCGGCTGCGGAACGTGGTCGAGGTTCAGGTTTACCATCTTGTCTCTCGGTCCCCGAACCAGAGGAAATTCTGGTGGAGTCTTGACAAGGCGATCGCACATAGCGGTGTGCTGGACAGTCACACGCTCGCGGACTTCAAGGATGCGCGAACGACTTTTGCACAAGAGTATGTGACAGCGCGCGGCGGCGACGAATATCTGCTGGAGCAGAGGCCCTTCTCAAATTCGTTGATCGCCTACTGCGCCCTCGACGTATTCTTTCTGGGTCAGCTTTATGATGTCTGTCGGGCTCTCGTCACCTCTGAATGGATCGATCGCGTACAGCAACTCACAGCTGTACGACTAGCTGAGAGCATGCAATGGTCATACACACCTTGGAGCGAGGACAAGAAATTTGCTCCAATGCAATGGCAGCTCGATGATCGATCTTGCCCTCGGCTGGTAGCCGGCCGCAAGACCTCCACGATGTCCGCATCGCGCGGTGGTAACCGACAGCGACCGGCAGAACGAGCCAGTGCACAGTCATAGCTGCTAATCAAGCTTCCTATCTTGCGCAGAGGATTTCCTCTCCTGAAATTAATCGACATCACTTGGGTCCCATTTTGTGTTGGCCGATGTCTTCGTGAGTCAGAAGATTCATGATATCGTACGGGTCACAAAGCCTCGAGCTAGAGCACTGTCGTCTTATAGATATAGAACTCGGCATCTGACCGCACAGTGTATAGTGTTCAGGATCGGCATCAAATCTAATTCGCGCCGTGTCTGGCTCGACAAGCTCTCGAAACTGCCAAAATCTGCAATATCGCATCATGTTGCACCGCTGGTGGTCAGTATATTCCGTTTTTGACACCAGAAGAATGGCAACGGCGTGAAACAAACCTCTTGATATTCAACGCAGTCCTTGCTGAGCTCTATCAATTGTTGAATGCGGTCGATGTGGTTGGGTCGGAACCGGTCGTGCCTCCATCGAATGAACAACCATTGGGCATGACATGGCAAGAAGACGAACTCGCCGACGTCACATGACTTTGAGCTGGTCCACCGATGAACTTATGTCGTCAGCTGCAACGTCTGGCAAAGGGGCCTGTGAGTGTCGCAAGCAATCTTGACGAGGAAACTCACGCCGGGAGCTCGACGACTTCACTCGATATCTTGCCACAGTCGATAAATTCATCTCTTCCCTTCCAGCCCATGAGACGTGAAAAGCCTGCTTCGTCACTTCGCTGCACTAGCAGGTCCACGCTCAGGCTTTGGGCGGGTTTCCATCGCATTCTGGATGCCAACGTTCTAGGTAAGCATCAAGATGCTCGATGGCAAAACTACTTCGACCCACATATGCGTCCCCGACTCGAGGTAGTACGGCGCATCGATTTGATAGAGTACGATCCCCTCCCATTCTTTTGAGACAGTATCGGCGAAGTTGTCGAGGCATTCAAGAGGGAACGTCGGCTTCAAAAGCAACACTGAGCTGGACGTGCTTTAAGTTAGGACTTCCAGGGTTCTCGGAAATCTGCAATAGCCGAATCACGCACTTTGCTCTCCAGTGATCGCACGTCGTCAAAGCTTCAAATCGTTCACAAAGGAGCTGAAGGCCCAAATTAGAGGTCTGATACGGGCATACACGAAGCAGCTCTCACCTTGCGTCGCTCAAGAAAAGGAAGAGGAGTCGTCGCCCTAGCGTTGATCATCAAACAGTCAAACACGTGAATAGCCCTGCGCACCTCTGGGGCAAAGGCAGCTTTCAGTTCCGTTCCAGTCTCGGTCTTTGACGTCCAACAGAGTTCCCCGTCGAGAATGTCAATGACATTCCACGGGGCTCTGCTGAATGGATTTCTCTCGTTGCCATTTGTTCCGTCAGATGACTTGCTTTGTGAAGAGCTCCGATTTTCTGCGGTGAGCTCGAATAAGTCATTCTTCCTGTCGTTCTAGAATAGCTCGGCTGAGTCTGTCATCGCGCACATTTTTGATCAATCAGCTGTCAAGGCGGCTCACCAAAAGCCAACGAGTCACGATATGATCCCCTTCCCCACGCGAAAGACGCAGAAGGAGCACTCGCAGCCCATCTTTCTTCTCCGTCACCTCGTAGCTGTCGACAATGTGAGGTGACCGAGTGCTTAGGATCATCATGCTAACAAGCCAATCTGACCGCAACTGACGACAACTCACAGCGCAGGTTTCAAGCGTGCGAGGCTGTCGCGAGTGAGATCGGCAGGGTGATTACCTGCCGAGATTGTCCGATATCAGTGAACGCCGAGTGCTTGAGAAATGACCACCTTTTGCGAGAACCGGTATGCACACCTATAAAGCTATGCAGCTTGCAGGATCAGCCAGCGGTCAGAGATTCTCTTCTTGCGCGCGTCGAGTCCTCACCGATCAAACTTGATCCGCCGAAGTCGTTGCAGCTGCGTCTTCGCCGACATGACGAGCTCAGGCTGTGCAGCGATGAGAGACGCCATTCCGACGATTTCGATCCTGATCTTTCCGACAGACCTGAGACCTGAAATGGTGGAAGAGGGACGTCGTTTCAGTTTCCTCGAAAGGCCGGGTGAAATGTTGCGTCGAGGGAAGCGACGTGGCTAGCCCACTTACGTAGCACACGAACACCTGTCACCAGCCGTGGAGCAAAGCAGCAAGAGGAAAGCAACCACGTGATAAATGAAATATAATGGCACGTGCGTCATAAGCCATTCAGAGGTGCGAGCATCAATGACCGGACTGAGCAAACGGTCCGTGCTTTGGCTTTGAGCACCTTCTTGTTTGCAAAGTCAACGCAAATTCTGGCCTGGGTGAAAAAAAAAGGTCTTGCAGCAAATCTTTGCTAATTTGACGACGCATCTGACCAGGTCATCTCTTCTGCATCATCGGACCTGCTCGGGTCTACAAAGGGGTGGTTGCCCAGACGTGCTCTGCAGGCTCTCCACTGTTCTCTTGCCGCGAAGGGCATGTGTGATGGTTCGTAGCCCCAGAGGATAGGTTGCTGCCGTTTGATGTATCGGGTGGCTTTCTCGTCTGCGTAGAGACTGAACAATACCAGAACCTGATAGAGCGCAGCCGTGTCATCGACCGCTCCAAAGTCGAAGCGTTTTGGCGTGCCTCTTTCTTCCTCATCTTCTTCGTAGCGCGAGACCTCAATGCTGTCAAGTGTTGCAGTCAACTGGCTGATCGCCTCTAGCATCTTGCCCTCACTCCTCGGTCTATGCGATCGAAGGAGTGTGCTTGCTGATAAAGATGTTAACAAGATGTGGGCGAGCACCGTAAGAATTCTTACGAGTCCAACGCGAGAACGGTTCGACGGATCGTCCTGCACTAGCAACAGAGGTACAGCGCAAATGGTCGCCAAATGAAGCCACGAGATAGGGATTTGCTGTGCGATGAAGGCGTCATGGGCGTGCATGATGGGTCGTCGAGGAGAGCACCTAATCTGCAAATTACGGTCCTGTAGGATGCATTCTACAAGGAGTCACGTGGTGTAGCACGGTTTTTCATTGCTTACTCCTGTAAACAGCGAAGGTCACTATCACGCTCACCACGTACGGCGCCAGGAGCCACAACCTCTCCGGCACGTCGCCGTCCGCCTGTCTCCGTCGACTTGTTGAACAGATGAACATGTCCTGATGTTCTGCTCTGGACTGAGCGCCGCACTTTCGTCTCGCTTCGCGCTCATCCTTACGCTGGTTGATGCTGCGCTTTGCGTCTTATTGGTCTGCTGCGCTTTGGCCATATGCCGAAGACAGCAGCAAGTCGAGGCAAGGCGAATTGAGGCCTTTCGCCGACTCGTTCAACGTCTAGAAAAAGCTGACTGGGACACACATCTACCATTATGGTGGAGTGATGCCTCCGAGTGGGAAGACTTCAATCCATTGCTCGACGACGACATCGATTGGAATCGGCATTCTGCGGTTGCAAAATCGTACGCTGCGAGCGCCTTCAATCATGCAACAGCACTGCGGAGGCTTGGTGCGTGGAGATCAAGCTCGACTCATCGCATGGATGGGGATGGGAAAATGGAAAGGAAGGAGGATGCGAAGGACACGACGTCTTAATAAACAGTCTGACGGAGGGTCGAGGCGACCTGTCGTTGTAGCTCATTGGCACCTACAACACCTAGCGGTCGGAGGAGGGCCTGCTGCAGTACATACCATTTGTGAGACCGCACCCTAAATTCTGACGTTTATCCCCAAGACAAGGATGGTGTACGCCCCTGGATATCGTCTGAGAGGTGGCGCCTTCTCGCTTCACATCGCTATGAAAAGCGGGTAACATATTCAACTCTCTTGCAATTCGAAGAGCAACGCAAAATTTCTGCAGTGCATTTTACCGTCGAGACGGCTCGAATGGCTCCGCGAGCGCTATGACACAGGCTTCGGACACTCATTTCTTCGCGACGCTCTGTGACTTTTTACAACTTTCCCGCGGACGTGGGCAACATCAGGTCGCATCGGGCGGTTCTTTTCCTGGAAGCTCGAAAGCATGTATACCAGTAGCGCTGTCTGAATAATTTGCGAGGCAAACAGCCTTCTTGAAGACGACAGCACGATAGCAAGCTTTCGCCAAGAGGAAGGAAAGACTTTAGCGTCACTGCAAGACTACCGCTGCAGGCACGTCGCGCTCACAAGAAAGTATGCGCTCATCAACTGATAACACCCGCCTCCCGATCTCGACAAAGCTGCGCTGATTCTTCGCGCGAGAGGGCACCGACGTTCTTGCTCCTGCTGCAAGGGTTTGGTTTGCAACATCAACGAGCTCTTCGAAAGTGAATGTCTCTACCAATTGAAGACCGCTACTCCTCGCAAGGCTGACAATAGCATAATTTCATTGAGCTGTTTCAGCAAATCGCCGTCTGGCGCAAATGCGATGAGATGCCCCGGACCTACTGCACCTTCCAAACATACCTAATCAGGACGTCTTTCGGTACTGCGACTTCGGGCAGGTCGACGAAGGATCCATGAAGTGTGAAGAGATATCGACGATCACCGTTTCCTGCACCAAACTCCCTGCCGGGCTGCTTAAACTCAAAGAGGTCCCGCTTTATATAGCCGTTGTTGTGATTCATTAAAGACCTGTATTGTTTTAATTGTTAGGAACGTCAACGCTTTTCCCTATGCTGAAGAGATATCTTACCGGATGCGATCCCCGTCCGGTAAGGTACAGACGAAGTAACAATCCCTTCCGAGAAGGTGAGAGATTTTGAGAAGCGTGGATTGAAGCAGCTGGTTGGATGTGCAAACGTGCTGCTGCAACTTGAAGAGATAAGACCTGCTGCAACTTGAAGAGATAAGGGCGGCCTTTTTAGCATGAGCTTGAATTTCACGAATCAACAGCTCACCTTACCAATTCATGTATGCTTCAACCTTTCAAAGGGCCAAGTCAGATCACGGATGCGGCGATAGCTAGCTCTTTGTATCGCTCCATGGTCCAATGGAATGCCTTGAAGAACCGGAGCGCTGTTTGAAGGCAGGCGTCGTACTCCTTCGCAGCTTTAAAGAATGCTTATTACCCCATCAGCCGCCTCTTTAGCTGCTTCTTGTTCTTGAACTTCTTTTTATAGGAGATGTCGCCGAAAACCTGGCAATTTTTGGAAGCCGCTGCTGCAGAATTTAGAGAGTGATGGTGGTTGAAGATGCAGATGCGAGAACCGACACCAACCAGATAGTTTGTTCGCGGAGCGTAGAAAGCGCCCAAATCTGACCTAATACTCGCCAAGACAGCAAATATTTCGTTCTGAGGACAGCGACATCATAATTTGATCTACTGTCCTCGTTCTCTTAGGGATGCGGTGCACTGGCTTTCTCAGGCACTGTTCAAGCTGCAAAAGAGACATGCGATTGAGGAACGCGTGTTGGAATGCTGTGGTAGTCAAAAGCGTGCGACAAGAAGCATACGCGGAGCAAGTTCGGACGGTAGAACTCTGATCGCCATCCTAAAAATATCGTTATCATCGGACCCGCAGAAGGCATTTTCTTCGCGCCTGTCGCTTCTTCAACAAGCGCCGCGTATTTTGTCTATGTCAAGCGTCTCAAGCGAAATGAAATCGCAGCGGGGGCGACCAGAGTCACCTTCGTTCTAAGCCATACTTTGAAGAATTCCACTGTGCTTTCATTTTCTGTGCCAATTAATCTCTTCAGAAAGAATCAATAGAGAACGGGAGGGTGGATGAAGGGTGAACTTAGAAGGACGGCAGTCAGATTTTCAAACAAAAGACAGAGAGCCTTCGTCGACATCGAAAGAAAGCCTTTGACGGGTCCCAGTTTCATTTGTCACTCACATCGCCAAATTCTTGTAGAGAAAAGGCTTGCAGATCCCTTGTTCCCACTGTTCCCATTGCTCCCATTGCTCTTGTACTTATCTTCGTCTTGTCGTTCCCCATCGTTCTCACTGTGTTGACACAACTGGCAACTGACACGAGTAAAGCCATGTACAGCAACACATGACAAATGGCTTCTGGACCGGACCTGAAGAAGCTTATTGGTTGATTGGAGCCAGGACGCGTTTGTGGCGCTGTCGCAGACGAGAATGTTGAAGCACCACTCATGCCTAAGTCAGGTACAGTAAAGAACACTATTACCTCTTGGGGGAAATTGCTGACAAGAAGATATGGCAGAGTGTGACGGGTTGCAAAGTGCCCAAAACGATGGCTGCAGCGTGCCTGGTTGTCGGATGTCAAAGAAGGAATGTCGGGCCAAGGCTCGGAGAACGAGGTTGTGCTCGTATCACGGACATTCAAATTAAAGCCCACAGGGCCATAGGGCCATTCTCCAAGCCTGCCCTTTGCCTAGCAGAAATAAAGGCAACGCATCCATTTTGCATGAATCCTAGGCTAAGACCACTTCAAATGGGTTTGAGGAGAAGCTGGAGGCTTAAATCAAAGGAAAAGGACAATGACCGGCCCCATCGACACTGAAACGTCCGACGAAACCGACGAAGTAGACGAAGCAGACGAAGCTACTCCACGAATCAGCCTCCGCCTGTTCAGTGGATTTAGTGGATCTGCTTGATTCGCTGAACCATATCCATATGATTTGCCATAATCGACGAGAGCATGGCGAAGGTAATGGTGTCGGTCTTACTGACATTAATTGGCTCTGCGCGCTCGAGGATCGAAAGGCAACGATGCAAGCACTGTTTTGTGCGTCATCGTTGGCAGTATCAACAGCAGCAGCGTCGTCCCCAGGATCTACCCCCATCCTTCAACAGCAAACTTGACGATCGAAATCGGCGCGACGCCTGCCCGAGTAGAGTTTATGCAATGACTGGGATTTATATACCACCTACTGGTACCGTGACGATAGAGACAGAAGACATCGACCTCCTGTGCCGCATGCGCCTGTCGCCAGTGACAATGCGCGAAAGAACGTCAATAGGCCGGACGCGAAGGGCCTGAGCGCGGATGCTATAGAAATGCACAAGCACAAAAAGCGGTCAATACAGAGGGGGAGGCAGAGATGATATCGTATGTGCAGGATGGCGGGTGCTTGTCTTTACGTGATTTCTGTCTACGTCACCGCTTGGCCTGCTGTGGTCGAGAGGAGCACTTCAGCTCCTTTGACGCGAGATTGATCATTGGACAAGCCAGAGGTGTGGCGGGCAGCAACGATGTATCCTTGGAGCAAAACAAGCAAGCAGCTCGATGCCCTCGACCTGTCGACCTACTCTACTCTTGGAGCTCGTGTCCCACTGGATTATCTGAGTTAGATTGATAGGCGAGAATGTAATACCTTGCGCCGGCAACTCTATGCGTTCTTACGCAAAATATCGATTGTTCGGGAACTGAGAGGCGCTGCAAGTGACAGGACGCTGTGCCGACGGATGATGCGAATGCGTCTGACAGTAATGGTAGGATCGGCGGCAAGGGACCGGCCGCAAGAGATCGGCCGCAAGGGATCGGCAGCAAGGGATCGGTGGGAAGGAATCGGCCAAAAGGGTAGTGTAGTGCGTTAGAACGGCGGAGTCATTCAACAGTGGATGGGTTTACTCTGAAAAAGAAAATTGGCGATCGATTTTTAGGGTGCCAAGTGCCATCCAAGCAGGACGAGCACCTTGGCGGCAGAGGCTTCTTCCAAGCGCGCAGCTCAACACCCCTGCGTCTCGTGTACAGCAAAACAGTGGTACAAGCCGACCGCTCCTCCGCGTCAAAGCGGCAGGCGAGGCACCTTGTTGACATCGTTCATGAACGCTCGAGCAAATTTGCTTCTCCGTACATCTCCCACCGGGAAACGCTTCTAGCACAGTCCCGAGGATCGAGAGGAATCTTGACATTGAGCCAGGTAGCTCGCTCAGCTGCCCTGAGGTATAGGATATTCCGATCCATGTACCCACGGCCGGAGCCTTCGATCATTCAAACGAAAATGACTGTTCACAGAGCTGAGCTCCAGCATCGGAAGCATCGGGAAATTCGTAGCTCAGCGTTTCAGTGATCTGCCAGACTCATCGGTGGGTGGATACACTCCCGTCGAGCGGGTGGTTACAATGTTCTCTTACGGTGTCTCAATCTGTCACGCTCTCTTGTTCGCTCTCGTCGAATGTTACAAATAAGCAGGCAGAGTGTACGTGAATTTGTGATTCAAGAAGCTTTTCGGCATGATCGAGGCCGCCTAACACCAGAGACGTCGAACGAGGTCAAAGAAATATCAACGAAGTCCGAATCAAACCTCAGCTGATCCAAGGTACAAGTGTGTAATTCCGGCTGAAAATTTCGGCACAGCGAGCTTAGCGACCTAGATGGAGATATTGAAAGAAGCAAGGCAGCGTGAAGATAGTCCCCATGCGGGAACGTTCATATCAAGTGGGTGAGACAGGGTATTTTCAGAGACGGGGAGGTCGCGCAGTGGAAGCGTATATGCCCTCTTGTCGGTCCTGAGTACGAATTTGCTCAGTGGCAAAGGGTGAGCGCTTCCGCAATTTGACGCCAAAGCGGATGAGAAGGAGAGGGAAAACGGCTAGGGCAAGTGCGACGAAGCCGAGAAGCGTCGAAGCCCACTTGTACGAGAGCGCCTGGTACACTATCGCTGCTTGTGGTTAGTTCAGAAATTGTGCGAGAAGATAGCGACTCACTTTCGGTTGCAAAGAGGGGAAATGCTAAGATATAGCATCAGCAGGAGAGAAGAAAAGCTACGACGCAAGAAGCAAATATTCACCAGTCGCAAGAATATTCCGACTGAAGCTCTGGGCCGCAAGAGCTGATGACGTGTAAGGACCGTAGCACTCGGACAGATACATAAAAATGCAGGCCTGATGGCCTCGAGTCTGGTCAGCCGGACAGCGTTGAGGCGGTGGGGCACGATATACAAACATAGACTAGGTAAAGGCCGGACATGAGACAGGCGCAGGCAAGCTGCGGAATGATCCACGGGAACTCTGGCTGAGCGGTCCAAGCGTAGAAGAACAACCCTGAATGCCGCAAAGGTCAGCTTCGGTGCCTGTTGGAGCGCTATGGTGGTTACTAACCGCCAGCAAAAAGAGGCGCCCCGAATGAGGCTTCCAACAGCCTCGTCTCGGGCATTGAGCTAGTCCTAACGTTTGTTGAGTGAAGGTAGACGAGATGCATCGCGAAGCCGATCAAAGCGCCAACAGCCAGGCCGCCAAAGCCGAGGCCCTGGGAGAAGCCATACTGAGAAAAGACTAAGGGGATTGACTCCAGAAAAAGGTAGAGGGTGCCCCAGGCAAACGAAATCCAGAGCGAAAGGCAGGATACGATGGGCTCCGTCGCTAAAAGCACTGTATAAACATCGTCCGTTGAGATTTCGCTTGCAACGGCTGAGGTCAGAAGAGCGAAAGAAAAAAACCTACCCAAGGGTCGAACGAGCGACAATGAGAGAGATGTTCTCGTCCTCGCGAGCATGCTAGCGAGCGTCGAACGTCCATGTGGCCGCTCCCTCATCACCAATGTTTCCCTATGGAAGGCGAGAAGGACAAGTGCGGCAGAGGGGACCGACGAAATGAGCTAGCACAATGAGATGAGCATCTACGCTTCTCAGCAGGAAAGAAGAAAAGCTAGAACCAACCATTGTCCAGTGAATCCATCGCCATCTGGTAAAGTTCTCTTCGGTCCAGCTAAAGAATATAGGGCCTATGGGCGTGCTGAAAAGGGCCGAGAGGCAGAAAAGGGCCATGGGAATCTCACGTTCTCGGCGTGTCCAGATGTCAGAGAGGGTGCCGCCAACCATGGTGGAACCTACGGACCCTGCGGCGCCGCAGAGGAATCGCGAGACCAGGACAGTTTCGATGTTATGAGCAAGGGCGACGGGGAGAAAGAAGAGAAAAAAGATGCCGTAGGAGGCGAGATACACGGGCCTGCGACCGACAGACTCGCCTAGCGGTGCCAAAAAAAGGGGGAAGATGGCGACGGCAAACGTAAAGCTATCGGATTGTTAGCTTAAATGCCTTGCCTGGACGAAAAAGAGTTCACGCACAAGGAGATGCCAGAAACAGCGAGGAGATGCGATGTGTTGAGGTCAACGGCCATTGCATCAACACCGAGGGACTGTTATAAGGTTCAGCTTCTGTTCGATTTCTATCCTGCAGGGTACTCTCTCGTTCTCACGTAGGAAGAGGCAGCGATGGAGCTGATGTGGACAGGCAACGTCAATTTCGCTCATCGCTGAAGAATATCTGTGAGTGTCTCACATAAGGCTCGACATGTAACACGCGGTCATGGTGATCGCCCATTTCCTCCCCTTCGCCCAATCCTGTGGGTTCTCGTGTTCAATCCCGTCCATGATGATGCTTTCTTGCCATTTCACAGAAAGAGCAATAAGTGGGGTTGGTTGTCGCACGTTTATCTGCGATGCACAGCGCGTTCGCTAGGAAACACGGGACGCACGAGGAGCCCAGCGCATCATTTTCCCAATTTCGAATTAAAAATTCTAAGGCACGTGCAAAAATTCTTTCATGTTGTGGCGTGCACCCATTCCTGGTTCACCCATTGTTCAATGGCAAATGGAATCGATTGGGTCGTCGATGCTCGGCGCAATGATTGCCACGTAGATATACAGTGCATGATGTCACCTTAGACTCATGGTTTACTGATAGGAAACACAAAGGACTTGGTCGCTGGGGCCGTCAATCTGCTTGCCATTTCTCTTGCAGCATCGTTACCGACACTGATCTCGGGCTCTTTTGCATATTCGGCTCGTCTTCTATTGCTCGAAAGGCACTGGACGCGGCCCACGAGCAGCCGGTTGGTACGCTGTTAAATTGCAGGCTCAATGTCACCTCTCGGGCGCTGATACCAGTGAGTCTAGCGTTGGATCGCTGCTGGCACAGCATTTTCGGGCAAGGGCTTGACCGTGGTAAACAGGAGGGCTTCCGCACAATCCAGCTATGAATGCCTGTATCTGGGCAGCTGAACAGCGTTCAAAGAGGTAGGAGGAGGAGTTGGGATCGTGAAAAAAACTTTAGCAGTCCTAGAGACTTGCGGGTCATAGCCGTCCAATTCCAGGTTAAAAGTCTCTGGGATACCGACCACATGAGAACAGATGAGAGAAGTACCGCAGGAGAAGCTTTACTTTTAGCTCATCGTTCCCTCGAAATACGCATTTCTTCACATTGTGTGCCATACCGATGCCGAAAGACCGATGCCGAAAGGACACGCAAGGTCCCACCAAGTCACGAGCTGTCGGATATTGCAATTCTAAAAAGACGTTGGGAGCTTGCTGCGACCTTATGCAGGCTCATAGCGCAGCAGTCGATCTGCAATGCAAGCCCGCATCTATACTCAATTTGAACCTGAAGGGCTTGATATAGACAATGGCAATACGAGCACTGCAAACACGGACCTCTCAATTGAGTGGCTTATGGCAGCAAAGCAACAAACCCGTTTATCCAGTGAGACGATTTGGAGCCGCGAGAAGCTTCGAGACCAAGACTTTGGCCGCATAGACGATTTGAGAAGCGTGCAAATCTAGCGTGATCAGATCCGAGGCCGGGCAGAGAAGAGGGAAACGATGAGGGATGTTGCAATAACGAAGCGAGGGTATCAGAACGATGATGGCGATAGCCAAGTCGACCAAAAAGGCCTTGACTTCGGTCCCAAATCTGGGACCGAGACAACATCGGCCAAAGAACAAATTTTTTCAAATTCTCGATCAGCTCAGCCTGCTACCGGGCCTTCTCTCGCTCATTGAACTCGCCTGTTCGTTGTTTCATCGGTCACAGCGCTTCACTGCAAATGTCAGCGGACTTTGTCGACGCGTACTATTAGCGGACGGTGAGATGCTAGCAATGTCATGAATTTATGGATGGCACATCGAGACATGTTCGAAGCCCAGCACAAAATTGGCTTTAGCGCTCAGACGTAACATATGGCTGATAAAGCACGGGAGAGGTAGAAGACTCGACGGGCACAGCAACATTAATATGTTCCAAAAGCTTATTTATGCTGTCGCGAGAGAAAAGACATTTGTAACCTGGTGTAGCCATTTTCGATCACTTAGCACTTCGCATTTTCAAGACTATTTTCTGCCACGTCTACTTTCAAATCATTTTGGCGCAACGAGGGAGACCGCAACGTTAAAGTGATTGCTTTTCACATGGATTTTCTGGAAATATCAGAAAACAAAAGTCCAAAGAATACGTTCAGAATGGTGAAAGAAGGACACATTCACTACCACCGTCATAAGTATGCTATATACGCCAGAATCTATGAGAAAGAGGGAAGATTGAAGACATGTCGCGAATGTTACCACAATATAGTTGGTCTTTGGTCTCTGCGGGGCCCTGCGCAGCCAGATTATAGTAGCTCGTGAAGGCGCTAATTCGCGAAGCCTTTTCTTTAGCTTATCACACCCCGACTTTAGAGAGCAAGCAACGTGCGAGCTTGTCTTAGGTTTAGGGTTAAGGGTGATGGTTAGGGAAGTCACAGATTTGGGGTAGTGGTATTTATTGTTACCGTAGATCGTTGCAGGGCAAGAAGGTGTCCACTTGATGAAGAAATTTAAACGGGCTATTGCCATCCCGAGAATACTGCGAGGAGGGGGCACCATGGAGATAAGCAGACAATTAATAGTAGCTACTCGAGCGAGAGTTCATCTGGGGTATCACGGGGCTCGCTGCCTACGAGAGCCACACCCTTCGTCTAATCCTCCATCTCAGCCTCAAAACCTCTTCACAACCCTCGCCCCTGTTTGTCCTCTGAGAGCATCGACTCGTCCAATGTGACAACTGATTCGCCGGATCTTCCGGATGTGCCTGACTACCTGGGCGTATACCAGATGTGCTTGTCATCCAAAACAACAACACAGGGAGCCGTGGAATGTGAATCGTTGATTCACTAAGCAGCATCGAACAAGCTGCTAGGTCATCGCAAGTGTACGAGGACGCAATTATCGAATAGGTACAGGAAGGTGGCTACTCAAAATCTTCTCATGCTCACCGGTGGCCATTCAAGAAGAGGTTTGGTAGGATATCTAACCTAGTTCGTTTGGTGTTCTTCAAGGCTGACTACGTATCAATACTTATCTTATTATCACCGGCAGCGACGACGAACTTTGCTCCTCGTCGAACTGGACACTGCGAGGCACTGTACCTCTTTTCTTTCTGCTCCGGGCGGAAACTTGAGATTTAGAAGCGCCTGTCCCAACCAATCACTGCTGCGGGAACAACTCGACTGGTTTCTCTTCAGCGCTGACTCTAAGTACGGCATTTTAAGTCAAGGATATGAGGGATGACACGTGGGCATATTCCACTCGATCAACATTCCCACATCCATATGCACGTGGAAAAGGCGCGTATGCCTACCGGTTAGCTTGGTTTGAACTATTTCATCGATCCCTGCCTCTTTACTACTGCTAGGACAGCACGATTCTAACGATTATTATGGCGGGCTGGCGGGCGTGACAACTTTTCCCCTTGCACAAATGCATTGGAACGACCAGGGAGCACTTGCGGTGTATGACAGCGCCGGAGCGAAGCAGCTCTTGCTGTTCCCAATCTCGTTCCTTCGCGCAGGTCGAGTTGACACCTTCACCTTCGTGCTAAGCAGTTGCAACACTGTTTCATCGAGGAGGGGGACTTGTTCGTCAAAGATTGTGGACGCAGAATTGCTCCCGAGGAGCACGTGTTCTCCGGTGGTGTCATTTTCAGACGTCGGTCGAGTCCCGCATCTTCGTCACGGTGTAAGAGACGATGAATAATCTGTCCTACCTTTTAAACACAGACCAGGTGGATGAAGCCGTCCACGAAAGACCGGGGCCAAGATTCAAGGCAAAGAATCGCACGATCGCCGAAGGCGCTGAGGGTAGTACAATGAGTGATTCAAAGCGGTCTTCCGCAAATCAGGTGCGTTCGGTACTCTGTACATATCCTGCCAAAGCTTAGCTTTTACCGCTTTCTGCGGAATACCTTTCGCGAATCTCTCATCGCCAGAGATGCTTTCTGCCTGGTAGCCAACGTACCGTATGGAAGCTGCACAGCATGTCATATCCTTCCGCAAAATCGGCCCGAGGTCAGTCTATGACCGTTGTGGCGAACGCGAACGAACGGTTTACAGGCTTTTACAGTACTACACAGAGGCTTTCGGCTTCGACCCAATTTACCTTTTCTCGCCGAGTTTTGGGCTGCTTCTCCGTGACGACATACATCATGCATTTGATCGCGGTGAATGGACTTTGTACGAGAAAGTAAGTCTGTGCTCTTGCCCAGGTCTTTGCGCACTAATGTCGCGAAATCAGGACGACTTCCTTGTCATCACCTTCTTCGTTTTCAAAGACTTCTCGTTGCGGCAGTTTTACGGCAATGTCATCTCGCCGGATCGTTTCGGAGCATCCAGATCGAAGGCTTTTAAGCTTCCACAACCGTCAATGTGCTATGAAGCGCTTTCGTGGCACGTCAGCTTGACCATAGATGATGGGAGATACGAACCTTCATTCGTTACATGGAGGACCAAAGTTTCGACCAGCTCTTTCCTACTTCCGGGTGTCAAACGAGACTCCATGTTTACATTTCCCATCACGAAAACAGGAAGAGCTGAAGCCGGCGCTCAAAAGCCCATCCTTCTCGCCAGTCGAAGTGGTCAGATCCAATCTGGTCATCTGTATTTCGGAAAGAGTCTGCACTTTCTGAAGTTACAGGTTTTCTCAACAAGCATTACAGCACTGTTTCTGCTCGGTATGCTATCGCTCTCAATTAAAGCCATCAGAGACTTAAATCTGCCCCACATCCGCTCGATCTGTTTTGCGCGCAACAGGCTTCAGCGAATCTCAAGGAGATTTTGGTTGCAGAATCCAAGAACCTGTTCCTAATTACCCCGCACGCTAGCAGGCGAGGCGATTGGCAGGCAAGGCAAGATGCTTTATGCGAAAGTGGGAGCCTTGTTATGGAAGCGAAATGGGTGCAGACCGGGCGTCCTGAGGTTTTCGGCGATTTTGTAGGCACAAGTAGTGGATAAGTGGACAGAGAAAGACACAGAATAGAAACTGAAATATATTTCACGCATGCACAACCTTCGCTCAAGCACCAACACGGTACAAACATCATTGATGCAAGATGCGCATAATCGGACGCGTGTGGCTTATGCGAAGCCGTCCTTGAAGCTCTGACTCGATCAATTGAGTAAGATTCTTTGAGGGCGCACAGATTCTAACTTCCTGCTGTAGTGATCCAATATTTTTCCTCTACTTTCGCGCGTCTTTTACATGCTCCTACGGTGCTGGTTAATTCTCAAACAAATCAAGACGAAATAAATTGTAGTTATAAGCTGAAGTCAGACGCAGTCAGGAGGGCTGCTGGCTTTGAGGCAGAGAGGAGGACCGCTTTCATACGTGCAGAGGTCATCGAAGCACAGAACAAAGTTATGATCAAAAACTCCGTCTCGAGAAATTTAGCCAAAGGAGGAAGGCACTAGAGCTCTACAATGGCATTGGGGCATTGGCTCCGGCCTCTTCATGCTGCAGCAACGCTGACGGCGAAGGCATTGCCAACTTCCGATCAGTCAGACCATCAAAGGAGAGCCATGATAGCTATGGACACGAGCGGCTATGGAGAAGGACTTGGTGTTGCGGTGGCCCTGTGGTTGTACCTGCTCCACCTGACACGCAATGGAGAAGGTCAACGCCGTGGTAAACGTCAAACTTCCTGAGTGTTCCAATGGTCCGGGAACATGACGAAGACGCGTCGGGCAAAGGAAGTCGAAGCTATCGGACATTACGGCATTGAGGAATTGCACGTGGCAAACGCGTTTGTAAGAATGTCGTTCCTGCGGTCTGTGCCTTTCACACCTGTCGAAATGCTCTGCCATTGTTCTTCTGCCTGTTGACGCCGCGCTTTGTATCCGATGATTGGATATGCCGCATCCATCGACCCATCGCCGTCTTCCGGGGTCATGGCTTATGACATTCATGAGGGACGGCCCTTTGTGCGATATTGACCTCTCTTTGTAGCCATCATCGTCATGCCTCGGTCGGCCTCCATTACTTTTCCGCGCCGGACGAGGCGCCAGACGGCATGGATACACGGGCGCGCCTTCGGCACGTTACGTCAATGTCGGGTCCCCAAACCCTCGGCAGCCGCGTTCTCCTTCACCCGCGCCCGACGACAGCTTCGTTCAGGCCAGATTAATTTGCTGCGCAATTATCCAGCACAAGCTCAAGTGTTTGGTGCTTCTGCATACGCAGGGCATCCTCCTTCATCTTATGCGCGCGCTGCGTCCGGGCATTTGCAATGTCAACACTCGTCGTGAGTTGATGGCCTTGTCATGCACGGTGCTTTTGCTGCTGCCCGTATCCAAAACTTCGTCGGTCGCCGAGAGCTCAATTCAAAACGAGCAAAGCGTAACGTCGATCAGCGTCAACGTGGGCGCAAAGCGAGACGGTAGCGAGGCACCAATTTCAGACCGGATCCGAAGGGGAAGATCACAAACTTTGACAAGTCATGAAAAAATGCAAATAGCGATGTGCAGCGATCTCTGCTGCTCTTGGCTGGAGGTGGAGAGGAAGAGTCTCCTCTAATTCACAAAAATAGAGAAAATCTGTGTTGTATGTACTGCTTGGACCTTTTCTCGAAGCGCTTTCGTCTTGGAGAGCAACGAAGTCTCACAGTGGTCGCTTAGCACACGAGTACCTTCGACCGTACAGGATGAACAGTGAGAGCGGAGTGCATTAGGCAATTCGCCAATCGACAGGAACGCTTGACGATGTTGGAGAAGACGGAGGAGGGGGAAAGAAAGAGTCCCGCCGAAGCGCTTCGATCTTAGAGTTCTTGAGGACAGAGATGCCCAATGTTCTGACGCCACTCAGCCGAAGCAAACATATTCGACATTTGACAGCAACATTCGATTGGTGACCAGGAACCGATTCACACAGCCGTCTTGACAAAAAAGCAATGAATTGCTTTGTCTCGGCATCGCTTCTCAGCTCCGCTTGTGAACCCGAGCGACTCCGAGAATTCATAAAGTTTCATCTGGTCGGGAGCTGCTTATTCCGGAAGAAAACACGTCCGTTCGGCCTCAATCGAGAAAGAAACAGGTACAGTTCTGTACATTCTAATATTGCACCCTCTCCATGCCAAACTTTTTAAGCCAAATGTTCTTCTCCGTGTGTAACGTGAAAGGAAGATATCAGCATGTCTCCTTCAGCGTCGCAATCGAAGAAGCCGGCGCAACAACATTGAGCATCACCTCCGACAGATTTGACGCCTTCAGTCCATACACCGACATATCCGATTTCGTCACCTCGGCGTGTGAGGCTGTCGCTAGGCGAATATGCTCTATTCCTTGTGTGGCGATGCGCATTTGGAAAGGTGGCGTTGGGGTTTCCTCTTCTGGTGTCAAAAGTGCTCACCTCTCCCGAGCTGTGATCCTCTTCTGCATCTTTTGATTCGGCGAGAAAGCTCTCTGTCCTATCGTTCCTCAAATCGTTCCTCAAATTGTCGACGGAGGAGAAGAGATGACGTGCTAAATCGGACTACATCTCAGATGCTCAGCGACTTGAAGTGGAAAACTCCAAGGAATGCACGCGCACTCACCATATTGGTTAGTTTGTCTTCCAGGGCAGTGTGTCCACTGCGGGATCTGATTTCAGCGAGCTCTGCTTCGAGACGGTCATTTCTTTCTTGCAAGCGAGCGTTCTGCAACCGCAAATCAACAATTAGTTGAGCACGTCGCTCGCGAAATGCTCGCGACACGTCTAATTGCCTCGATTTGCGTGCATCAGGATCCTTGCGACGACCTCGGACCATCAAAGAAGAGACAAGGCCACACCCTGAAGTTGGAGGAGAAGATCGCTGAGGCTGATGACGAAGGACTGCCAATTTAAGCAAAGGCCTGCCAGCCAATGGGTGTTTAAATAAGAGGCCACCGCTCTCGATCAATATATTTGGCAGCACGTGCGTGCTTTGGCTTTTAAATGAGCAACGTGAATCGATGGAACAAATTTCAAATTCCTCACTCCTGCCTTGAGCGTTCGGGCTTACAGACGAGCTCGATTAGCGTGAGGAACCTTCTGAAATTTTAAATAGGTTTCGTCGTCACATGACATCAGTGAGTGCTCTCCATAAGTTTGTAGATCTGCCCTCTCCGCTCATTTGTCAGATCTACTGGTCTAAATTTGACCAAGGCCCGCTCCCTCTTTGAACCGCCATTTCATAGAGGTATCTTTGCCTGTGCACAATGGCAGAGCGTAGAGAAAGTCGCCATGAAGATGTTGCGCGAGATTTCCCGCAAATTGGCCAGTGCGAAAGCAGTGGGCAATTACTTCGTGCGTGTTACATGTCGAGCTTCATTTGTGTTGTCGTACCTCATCAATTGCTCAGTAGAAGCCAAGGAATCGAGTCTGCTACAGTGCAATCGCAGCAAAACATAAGTAAGGCGATCTTTGGAGGGCGCAGAACTCAGATTAGCCGCTGATGTTGACTTTAAGTTCACAAGGAATATACGCAGTGGTCGTCGACTTGCAAACGTCGATGCATCTCGCGGTCTTGGGCATTTCGTTTTGCCCAGAAGTATGCGTTCTGTGGCCAACTCTCGAGAGCTGACGTTCTGGGACAGCTTCACCATTGCCGTTGCAATCTTCCCTCTTCTGATGCCAACCGCGGGGGGGGGGGGAAGAAACACTTTCGGCCGAAGACCTGTTTATCTGACCTCCTATTCCCTTTTCTTCCATTTTCCCTCCAATTTGCTCTTGCACAGGACATCGAAATTGTTCTTGTCTTCCCCTTTCTCTGCGGCGCTGCAGGATCTGTGAGTACAACAGAGGTCAGCGGCACTCTTTCGAACATCTGAATGCGCGATAAGGCCGAGAATCACCCATCGCCCTCTTTCCTTTTTGGTTAATTTGGACTGCCCATTGGACCTATTCTTTTTAAGCTGGAACGACAATGACGGAGAAGCTCTCAGTTGGCGGTGTATTTACTGGACGATTGGTGAGCCAACGCCTCTGCTGTTCGATCTGTGCCCTGTTGATAGAAGATGATGGAGGAAGCTGTATTCATCAGTCCTTTCTGCTGCACTGGTGATCTTTACTTTCGATCGCGAGACCTTGTCTGTGGCGGGACAAAGGACAGAATAGCGCAGCAAATGACCGACGCTAGACAGCATAGCCAACAAACTAAACTTTTCGCTCGCTTTCAAAGAAAGTTTTGCAGCCATTGAGTGAGGATGTCTCTCGCATCGCTGTATTGACACCGTTGCTTGCAAGCTTGTCCGTAAAATGCTTTTCACCTCGGAGTCCATCATTTTCTGTCTTTCGCTTGATATTTTGCTCGCATGAGACATGCTAATTTCTTCCTTGGGTCGGTCCCTATCGTTTTTGCCCAGTACATCTCCTTCATGGACCTACTTTCGGGAATCTCTCTTTCGGCGTGGTGGCCGACAGCGCCGTTCACCTTGTTCATCTTTGTCTTCCAAGCACGAGGTTAGCAGAAGACCCGAAAAGAGGCTGGAAGAAGCGTGCGATGGCAAATTGGAGTTTGCCAGCACTTGGTGGTCTCTTTTTCGTCTGTCTCTGTTGTATCCTACATGCTGATCGCGGTTGGACATGGAAAACACAATCTCGTAGATTGGTCCTCAAATTGTGTCGGCCTACAACGTCTTCGATCTCTTTCTCGTGGATGTGAGTAGCGTTCTTTCACTCGATAATTTGCAATCTGACAAATCACACAGGCCTGCATGTTCATGCTGTTGTCCCAGAGCTACGGTGTATACACGTCGTCAGCAATCGCAGCTTAAAGTTTCAGCCGCACTCTGTTCACGACTGGTAAGCTCCGGATTACTGCTTGTACCTCTATCCTGCTGACAACTTTTGAAGATTTTCCGCTATTTGCCGTCAATAATGAGCTTCTTCCCTCTTTTTGCACAGAATAAAGGACGTTTGATAAGATGACGAGCTGTGTACGAAATACTGTCACTCTCGCGGACCTCTACGCTCTTAGCGTGCGTCGCCACAACCCTTGCCTAATCTGCTTTCTTCTTATCACGGCACTAAATTGAGCAATCGCTCGCATTTGGTCACTAAGCAAATTCATGCACCAGTTCGGCCGGAGGCCGGGGAAGTAGTCTCAACGCCTATTTGCGCTTTCCATGTATCCTGGGCTAACTCTGTCATCCTTTACGGATTATCGTTACATGACGCTGTTTGGCCACGGTGAACTCCTTCGCGGTGACCGCATGGCAGACTTGCGATAGTTAGTTTGAGCCAGAAAAGCTCGACATTAATTCGAAGACAAGCAAGTCGAAGGAAGAAGCTGAGCCATTATCTACTTGTCATCTGCGCGACTTTTTTCACCTGGGAATGGGCAGTCGATGCTACCTTGTTCTCATGAAACGTGCCCATTTCTACCCTATCGTGAAGCGCGTGTGGCGTGCTATCAATTTTCCGGGCGACCCGAAGTGTAGGATGCCCGTGATGATGGGTATACCTACAGAAGTTGTGCTTCGCGATACTTTTGCTTCAGCCGAACCACTTGTCGGCGCAACCATTGAAAGGATTATATCTCCCGCAGCATCTCGCAAATAGAATTAGGGTTGTTTGAATGAATCCGTCCATCCTTTCTCGATCACTTTACTTACATGGCTGCTGCCTTCGCTCATGCGGAAGAATACCGGTTATTTGACAGAGTAGACAAGACTTTGAGGCACAACAGCATGTCAGCGTCTTGCTTTCTTGAATTCCGTTTCTACACAAGCATCTTGTCCTTTCACTGTCCATCGTGTTTTGTCTTGTGCCGCTGATTAACGAACGTCACATTACAGAAAAGGGTTGGTGTCCAAAACGCCATCAAGAAGAATAAAACAAGACAATTAACCAGGGAGCTTGCTTGCAGAACTGGCAAATTTGTTCCAACTCACACAATTAAAGCAGCTCTCAGGAGGAAATGCATCTTTGCGGACCACACACGAACAAAGCTGAAGTTGACGTAACGCCCAAGTGCGAAAAGTCGGCAAGAATGTGAGAACCAAAATGTTGCAAAAAGACCACTCCATCTGATGAGATCATTGCTAATTGAAAAAAGGAGGACAGAGCGATCTTGGCATCTACCTGACAAGAGTGCGATAAGATGCCTGAAGAGACAAAATAGAGCGACGAGACTTTCATGACGCTCTTGAATCGCTTTGAGCGGCTCTCTAAAAGGGAAGGAGAGTGGCTACTTTACAGTTCAGCCGGCTCGACAATGTAAGCAAAAATGTGCTTTCTCAACTCCATCTTGCTACCATACACGCAACGTTTGCCCGAAGTCTGCATCCTTAAGCAGGATGTCTGCAACAACCACAGTCCCAGCATACACGAGCACGGTTCAACGATATGTCAAGATTGTATCCTGGCCGGCATGATGGCTTCTATATTTCGCAGTCGATTGTAGCCTGAAGCTACCTGGCGGTATCGAACCCCATTCACAAGCACTAACCATCCAGGAAGATGGCAGCTTTGGTCGCCATGAAAGTTGATTTAAAGACCAAGTAGGGTTGTTAAAAGCCAATAATGTAGAACTTTTTGGTGAGCTCCTGCAATGAAGAAAAGACATGCTGTCTCAATGATAATATTGTTTCGCAAATGTTGAAGACGTCTGTAGCTTTATCCGTCCACTAATCAGGACGTCCAGTATGACTTTACGATCGATCGCATGATCTTGCTGCCGCGCTCACCATGCGCATCTAATTACGGAAAGAGACAAGAAATAAAAGCATTTTAGGTCACACAAAATGTCACGTTCAGGAGATGAGAGAAAGGTTTCATAGCTGCGTAGTGCGCATACCTTCCTTTTGACCTCGTTTATGGAGGTCTCCCGCTCCAAAGATCTCTTCCCAACGAACGATTCCGCCCTGTAGGATGACCACGCGCTTTTTTATCTCCTCGGAAGTGTGCATCTCTTGCGTCTGCAGTGCATCGGCATACCAACCGGCAGCTCGAGGAGCGCGGCCCGCGGATCGGCTGCAATGAAAGACGATCAGGGGAATGTGACTGAGAAGGGGTAGCAGAGGAGCGAGCGATACCGGCAGCGAGTGAGCGGGAATGTTGACGGCACCCGGAATCATAGACTACATTTGAGAAAGGTTAAAAGCCTACACCACCTGCAACCCGTAAGTGGATCAAATCCTCACCGTGCAATCTGCTCGCCTTACGTCGATGACCAAGAAATCCTTACCGACCGTCCGCTGAGAAAGGAGTATTGCAAGCTCTTCGATGGTGATGGACCCGAGGTGCTGCAGCGAGTTTCGCGGCGCCCCGTAGACAGAGTACCAGTCCTTGGCGTCAATTGGATGATGTTCTGGCATCTCAATTGGTGACACCTTTGCAGTGTGGGAGGCGCGAACTGAGCGAAGGCCTCCCCTTTTTGGGCGAAGGAGACTATAGGGTACTCGGGGCCACCTACTTCTCGGGAGCAGCGACGCAGCTTTTATAGGTGCTCTGCAACGAGTTCACTTCACGGCACTGACACGTTCTGGCGTCGGTTCCTTCGCTATAGACTTGAATTTGAAATACAGTTATGCAGCATCGTGGAAACGTCATGCACAGCCAAGCGAATTTGACATGGGCAATTTCAAATTCAAATTACCTAAAAACGGGCTCAAGGCTCTCTCGCCATATATATAGGTAGCCCGGACTTTCATACGCGTTTGGTTTGTTAAACGTTCGGCAATACTGTTGCTACACCAGTCCGCTGTGTTACACGCTTTGCCAGAGCCTGCAACGCGAGGAGCACCTGACAACAGCACCGTCCGCCACCGTCAACATGTCATCACCCCTGGAAAGCAAAGCTCCAGACTCTAGTAGCCTCGGCTGCGCAGAAATTGGCACCTGCAGTCGCGCAAGTCAAAAAGGTCTCACGAATTTTCGCAGTCATGGTGGTGTCCCTACGCACAAAGACATGCGTGAGGAAGAGGACGTCTCTAACGCAACCGCTAAAAGTATTCTTCTTGGCCTCAACTGGCTGGATCGCTTCCTGACGCTTTTCATCATCCTCGCCATGATCATCGGCGTAGTGATAGGTGAATTCGCGCCAAATGTGAACAGCACGCTCAACAAAGGCAACCTCAAAGGTGTATCCGCGCCGCTTGTCGTGGGTCTCATCGTAATGATGTGGCCAATCTTGACCAAGGTGTGCTTCCGTACCTACAACGTGAGAAGACATATCTTTCAGCTCACACGCATTGCACCGTACTCCAACAGGTTCCATACGAGCAGCTCCCGAAAACATTCAAGAGCTCAAAAATTTGGCTGCAAATCTTGCTCTCGCTAATTCTCAATTGGGTCATAGGCCCATTTCTGATGTTAGGAATCGCCTGGGCAACGCTACCAGACCTAGAAGAGTACCGTATTGGTATCATCATGGTCGGCCTTGCGCGGTGTATTGCTATGGTGATGATATGGAACAAGATTGCGCGCGGCGATGCCTCCGTCTGCGCAATCCTAGTCATCATCAACTCGATTCTTCAAATAGTCCTTTATGCACCCTTCAGCCTCTGGTTCGTTAACGTCATCTCGGGATCTCAGTCATACAAACTCGACTACGGCGACACGGCGATCTCTGTCCTCATCTACTTGGGTATACCGCTGATTTCCGGCGTGCTCACACGTTTTCTCATCATCCGAACCGCAGGGCGGGCTTTCTTCGAGCGAAAGTTCTTGCACTTCTTCGGACCACTCTCACTCGTCGGTCTCTTATACACCATCATCATAATTTTCGCAGAACAGGCTAAACATATCTTGCACAACCTGGGGCCGACGTTTCGCACGTTTGTGCCGTTGGTCTTATACTTCGCCATCATGTGGACCCTGGCTTTCTTCCTCGTATGGCACTTCAGCAAACGATATGGACACGAAAATTGGGGATACCAGATGGCGGTCGTGCAAGCGTTCACAGCAGGCAGCAACAATTTCGAGCTTGCCATTGCTGTGTGCGTATCTGTCTACGGAGCTGACTCGAATCAGGCTTTGGCAGCAACAATTGGCCCGCTAGTAGAGGTCCCTGTTCTTCTTGCGCTTTCCTGGATAGCGCTCTACGCCGGTCAAAAGCTTCGATGGTCCTCGGCTTCAAAAGAACAAGGGATTGACCGAACTTCGCCCTAATGGTCCTCTTCCGCACCGTCATCTATGCTAGAATTGGAACTCTACCGCAAAACACCATGCCCTATTTCAAGTTCCATAGAAAGAGCTGGGCAAATGAGGTTGTCTCTGCTCGTCACTATTTGTAGTACATGCAGAGTTAGTCCATTTGAATGCTCGGCGCTTTGTTGCACAGCATGTATCGTCCATCATTGGCACGATTTGCAGAGCAAAATAGACAATGTAGGCGAGGCGGAGAGGTGGTACAATTTCAGACACCCAAGTCCGGACCGTTCTGGCGCCCGCTCATCAATCAGTCTGCCAATCTCGTGAGAAAGTGAGAAATGAGTTCCAAAGATGAGGTTCAGATGTGTCATTCGTAGTCCTTCCATGGGTGCACCAGAGCACGTTGAGGCTCAGTGGCAGTTGAAGTGCACTCGAACTTCAGAGGTGCCGACTTCAACAATCCTGCTCGAGCACAGGACTCAGAGAGTTGCAAGAGCATGCGAGAAGGCTTTACCTTGCTTGTTCAATGTCTTGTTGCATCGAGAAGTTGTTTTTCTATCTTCTTCTCAATGTCATCTTTCTCCCTCCTCATCAATTTCATTTTTCTCCTTAATCTCATATCGAGCATGAAAGTATAGTTTTAGTTCCCAGACAGAAATAGGGAGGTAAAAGTGCAGGAAAGTCGTGTTAAATAGAGGGACTTAAAGCATGCAGAGAAGGGTGGGAGGTGAAAGGAAGCATTTCAGACCAAAATTTTTCGTCCAGAAAGCCGTCCTCTGGTAGACCTAGCATACCAGAATGGCATGCAACAATATCATCCGAGTATGAAGTTATGTGTCCCACGAACTACTGGAGACTGAACGAGAGCTTCAGGACTAGAGACGGATTTAGCCAAAGGTAACACTCCGATGTCAGTCGAGAGACTGATGGCATGTTGCAGTTGCTCTGTGACGGCGCTTAGTTGTGAGGGTGAATTGAGCAATGACTGCAGCAAGTTCGCATAAAGCGCCGCGTTGGTGGTGTTGACCATAGTAGTACTATTCAACGTATCCGCAACTTCCTGGACGAGTGCAAGAGCGTCCTCTTTGTCATGGTGCTCTGCCAATTTCGCCTGATTGCAAGCGAGCTTGAAGAGAAATACGCTAGCGTACGTGACCATGATGAGTTGCACCTACCTTTCCCTTTCTTCTTGGGAGATTGACGGCATACTGAAGGCCAAAGGAGTTGACAAGCAGCCCAGCGTAGCTAATTCGAGGGGACCACTGCCGGTGCAGCGAAAGGAGCAGCCTCGAATCGTGATCTAGCTTATGGGACTGACATCGCTCAGGCAGTTTGAAAAGCAGTCTTGAAACCCAGTGCTTGTTCCACTCGTCTAGCTCTTCGTTGAAGGTACGAATACACGCCAGCTTGGCCTCGTGGTCAACAGTAGCGTGGGTAGGTTTTGCCGTTGTCTTGGTGTTTGCCGCCTTCGTCTTCTGTAGTCTATGCTTGAACATTGGGGCGGCCGACCGGCGGAGATTCCAGGTACGAAGATGCTTGAGTTGGCGACACAGCATACGAAGCAAGTCGACAAAAGCGGCGATCGCCGTATTCCACGGGCGATTTAGCCTTTCATCATCTTCACCTCCGCGGATTGCTACAAGGCACCATCTACGGCAGTGGATGATCAGATCATCATCTTGGAGCTTGTCCTTCTTACCCAGTAGGGCTGAAAAGCTCTTGTCGACTATAGAGCTCGGCTATATAGCAGCATAATCACGTCCGCTGCCGGTTGAGAGTCTCGGGTTTTGTGTCATTGGCGATATTTTTGAAATTGTTGATGACGTCCTCGCATGCGCCCTCGTGCTGCTGTGAAATGCCCAGATCGGTAGCAATGCGCATCGCTAGGCCGCTGTACACCCAAGATCGATCATCGTTCCAGTGTTTCGAATCGGGCATCCACATGGCAAGAAGCAGCAGGCCCTGGACTATTTCGACGCTCTTTGTGCCCTAGGCGGTGCTGCACCTGATCATATCTCTCCTTTTTTTGGCAACGGAGAGTGGAGCCTGCATTCAGTCCAGCAAGCCGCGGTTCAGGCCCGGAATATATCTTTACACTACAAACGCGGGAAGGAGCTTATACAATTTCGCATGATCTTGCATAACTGATTCTGCTCGTCGCGTAGAAATCCCTCAAGTAACGCGTGACCCAAGATTATTTCCAGACATTCTCGGAAATGATTCCGCCCTGCGAGAAGAGGAATTGTCCTTGCCGTGTCGCCTGGAAGTGGGGCATGGCATGTTACAAGTCTGCCATGGCGTCGATGGTTAGTAGCAGAGCCTTGTCATAGCAGAAGCCATCAACGTCCAGCAGCGAGATGAGCATGCAATGTCATCTGCATCGTTCTCGGCTCTCAGGCAAGCTACAGCTGTGAATCTGGTACACCATTCAATACGCCGGCTCTGTTCTGCCTGGCTAACCAAAATCCTGTCCAAGTATTACTGATCATCACATACCTCATTTGGACATAAATGATTTTGATCTAGTTTTTATTCTTACTCTTGCTTCTAAAACAGCACCATCAACGCATCAACCAGCGAAAGCGCGACGCGGCGACGCGCATGTTGTGGAGCGAGCCCCGATGCGCAATCAGCGAATCGGCCTCGACCTCGGAAATAAGAATGAAGCGAGCGATCGGCTGAATTCTTGATCTTTTCTAAGACTAAGGCATCCCAATGACGGTATGGAAGCTAATGACAGCCACTAAAGAGAGATGCCCGATCTTCTTACCAGCACGTGCCATGCTCTTGAAGTAGCCTCTTGCTTCGATAGACCATTTCCCTAGGAAGCAAATTGCGCTAAATCACTCCTAACTCTTTGTAAACGAGCCATCGACTTATCAAAGTGCAAACGAAAAAGCTTAGGTCGCTCGAAGAAAGTATTGGTGACCGGGGCGCAGCAAGTCCTGACGAAATTATTACTTGGGAGAGAATTGACTGTGTACATGCCAGTTGAAGTAGCGTGCCGTGAACCACGCCGCTTGCTGCATTGCTAGTCACTGAAAGCGCAAAACAATAGCCAGAAGATCGTATCTTGTTCGGCATGACGACACGGACATTCGAGAAGCGATTGCGTGTGCAGACGACTTACCAAAGCCCGGTACCTCAGCATCTGCGTTCTCGGGCTGCTCCAGTTGAATCCGACTTCGACCAGTTTCGTCCAGCTTCGTGGCATGCATAAGAACAAACGAATTATTGGATAGCCTGATGACGTCGCTACCGAGTCTCCCGCCTCCCCTCTTTGGCTCGTCTGGAGGGCTAGAAGGTTATCTCTCGCACGTCTGGTTGCCGAACAGCTCGCAGACAGAATAGTGGGCTTGGGTGCGTGCCGCTCCAACAAACTCATTTCTTGCATCTTCGGTGGACGCAGGGAAGAAAACAGAAGGTGATCAAGTCTTCGTTTCATTGGCCATAGCCCCGCCTAGCAGTGCACCCGAGCAGCCTCGATAGACACTCGATTTTCATCATGATCGACATTCACCAGTGCAACGATCATGCAAACTCACCGTCTTGCGTAATTCGTGCTGTGTGTACGCGCTCCCCACACACACTGTGTCCACAGCTTGCCCTGTACGAGTGTAAATGACATTGAGTTTGTCGTTCACGGAGGGCAAGGAGAGCATAGACCATCTGGAAACACTTGTGCAGCTCCGGTCCACTTTCATCCCGACAATTTTGCTTAGCGATACGCAATGCTCATCATAAACAAGAGAATTTTATGAGTGGCTTCATTGAAACAGAGCAGGCGGTCTAGCCCTTCATCCTCTAGACACTGTCACATTTGTCCACAGCTGCTGAACCCACTGGCATTTGAAAGACGGATATTAAGGCTCCAGCATTCTGACTGCCGAAGGCGGTGGGGACATCTTCAGTCATGTCGTATCGGGGACGTCCCTGCGCTTTTGCCAACGAATAGACCCTTCTCCAACCAGTGTACACTGTCAAATTTGTCGACTCTGACGTCTGGAACTTCCCGAGTGAGAGCTAGATCTCAGCGTGTATTCAAACCATGGACCGTTTTCTACGAACAAAAATCTGCGAAACCCGAAAATCTGCGGAAAAGATGGCGAACCCAAATATCTACAGCTCTCACGACGCGAAACACAAGTCGCCATCATTTCCAAATTAGGGTTTCTTCGGCATCGCCCCACTTCTTTGACGTCTTTGCTGCAAGGTTGTGTAAATTCGAGGTATTACTCAGTGACCGCCAAATGTTTGCTGTGTTGCTGTAGTGTGCCCCTCTTTCATTTTTGTCTTTCGTGTAAGAAGGCCATTCCAGTCAAGATGCCCATTACGGTAGATGCAAGCATCTCCTCTCCTCGCTGCTCGGGCTGGAAACAGCCAACAGACCAGCAGTCATGAGCGTTATCCGGCGTCAGCATCTGGCAATCAGGTGTTAGTCAATTATCTTCAAGCCAAAGCTCTCGCACCTCTCCCCCTTCATTTTGACTGATCAAAGCTAGCCAGGAAGAATTTCCGAGAATTGTCATGGAGCACATGCCTGCTCAAGTCGACGACGATCGAACCTGCTATCCGTTCGTCAATAGAAATCTAGCAGGCCTTAGATTGTACAAAATTCTGCGATAGTATAAGCTGGGACATGCGGATGTTTCCGATCAGGCTTTCTCGAGCAATCCGCGCTCCTTCGCCTCGTGAAAAATGGAAGTGGCAGATCTCCATATTCTTCTTCTGTTCCTGATCGAGCATGTCGGCGACTGCAGGCAAGCTTTCATATGAGATAGCCATATTGATCCTTTGT